TCGGGGCCGCCGACGCCGCCAGCTGCCGAGGCGCCCCCTCTCCGCCGCGCGGCCCGAGACGACGGCCGTCGAAGACGTCGTCAATGCCGGATAAACGGTCGGCACGACCGTACAAAGCGGCGAAATCCCAGTAGCGGCCCACAGACCGGCGGCAAATGGAAACGGCCTCGTCCGCGGGGCAGAGCTGGCCAGGAGAGCGCCCCCGAGAGCCGGCTGCATGGAACAACTGCCGGCTGCCTGAGATACGGCGCCATTAGCTAAATTGGAATGCTAAGGCAATGGCCATCGACTATCTATATTACTATTTGAGGAGGGCGTAGTTTCTGTCTATTACGAAGGTCGCGACATGGTGCTACGTAGCGCGGGTTACAGATCACACCGTTGCACCTACCGCGCTGAAATTTGCGCAAGTTATAGAACAAGGATGGACAACGTGCCTTTGAGCGGTCTCGGCTCGATCGGATCGATAGCGAGCGCGTGGCGCGTGCCCAAAAAGTGCAAATTCGCGTCATAGACTTGACATGTATAAATCGGCTGGCAAAAACGGGCGAAAATGGCTAAATTTGCCCGACACGGGTCCGTTCCCCGTGCAATATCTCGGTAGCCGTGCGCCCGATCGGCACGGGGAAAACAGCATCGTGTAGAGAATCGAACGGGCAATCGAATAGTGTGCGGTGCAGGGGTTGGCACGCGTCACGTGCACCGGGGAGGACACTTTCTTTTGAAAAATGGACGTTTTGTACGGATTTTGGAATTTATATTAATTTCAGGTGACCGTCAGACGGAATGAGTTGAAACAGCGCCTATTAGCAATAAAAATGTACCGTCTCTCATGGAAAAATTGTTAAAAGCTAATTGATCAAAAACAATGTGGAAAAAATCGCTGAATTAAATGGCATTTGTCCAAAATGTGCCACTAAATAATTACACGGATTTTGCTGCTTAACCTGATACGTTTGACAATTGAAAATGCTATCATTGGAAAGAGCATTCAATTCTCTCCAAGATCCAATCATCACGTTTGCATGACAAGCAACAGTATTCTTAGAAATATAAATGTTTTAAACCTCTGCAAAACGATTTTTAGCGAAAATTATCTACGCCTTTCATTTGTCTTAAAACTACGCACCTCAATTATAAAGCACATTTGACAGATTCTGAAGTGGAAAGCATGCTTATCAGACACGGGCACCTCGATGCGGTGGATATTTTTTCCACAAACCAAAACGTTTAGCCGTCAAAAAGCAATCGACCGAAATGGATAGATAACCCAACCGACACAAGAAAACCAAACACCCGCCGATCGAAAATATCCCTTTTCGCGTTGCGGAGCACGCGGGTCACCCTAGTGTATTATGCTATTTCCATAGCTTACATTACAGCGGTACTACATTATATAATGTATTTGATACTAAAACACTGATATAAATGTGTGCATCGACGCGTGGCTGGTCGTAACACCAAAACAATGGACGTCGGTCTGGCGGCCGGTCTTCCAGTTCCGGAGACACCGGAATCGGCCGTCGTCCTTCGGATTAGGTGTGCAGCGGGCCTCTAATTAAACATGCTTTGTTAATTATTTACAGTGAGTGGAGTAAATGATGCAAGGCTGGCTAAGTATCATCAAATTCACTTTATCTCACTCCTGTCCTAAAGGGCCGTTCAGGATAAAGATTGTAGTGGCATGGTTATTGGTTATGATGTTACACATTTATTAATCGGCGCATCGAAATGGTAAAGCCCGACAGGCACTGGCCAGCGACGACCTCTGAGCTCTGGACTCCGTGGTAGGTATACTTTTTCATGGAGTGCTGATGGCTGGTGCGGGTAAAATGATTCGCCACACCTCTGTATGTATAGGGCTTCCTCGCAGCGGCCCTGCTTGTTGCATTGGCCTTATTTTTTTTATGTAGCCATGACAAGGGCTAGATGAAAAAAATGACTTCAGGTGACCTTAGCGAGAACGACTGAGTTGCAGCTCATGAGTTACATTTTGCAGTTGTGACCACTTGGACGTTCCATAGGAGATCAGTATCCATCATCCATTTAACGTTTAAAATTATTTGGAAATACGAGTAGGTATATCAGCCATCTACTAACAAATTTAAATCACATCACATTTATCACCTTTAAAAGGTCATTCCAGACAACGACCTTGGAAGTGTGTGTTGTCAACCGTCGGGACACTTATTGAAAAGGTTCCCAATAGAAATAGTGCAGCTCTAGCACAATCCTTTGTGGGCCGCCCGAGATGACGACGTGGGCCGCCGCTCCTCCCCCCGCGGGTCGGTCGTGTTGCTGACATGTGGGCGGCGGGTCAGGAGGGGGGGGGGGGGTCGGCGCACCCACCGACGACCCGCCGCGCCGGCCCGGCGTAGTGCTGGGGGGGGGGGGGGAGAACTGGCCCGCGGCAGTGTATCGAGACCGGCGGTCGGCAGAGTCGGATGCCTGGGCCCTGGACGCTGCCCGGGCTCGATCATATTTTAGATGTCGGCTCGGCCAATCGTCGTTCGGCCTCTGACGGAGCCGCGGGCGGAGCTGCCGCCGGCGAGCAGTCCATCTTCACGTTAGTGCACTGAAAGGATGCTCATTATTTATAGGCACAGTACTGTGATTACTTTACAAATTTTCAACCTCGGGAAATGCTTTGCACGTTAGTTCTTGAACTCACTAATTTCTCAAGGACGCTATTAAGCAGGGTCGGCCAACAACGTCGTCTTCCAAAGTTTGAACGCCACCAGCACGTGTGGGTAAACCATTCATCGCGACTTCGATGCGCTGATTAAACTCAAGTGCACTTCTAGTAGTTGCGAGCCTTTTGGGAAACTCTACCGAGCAGCAGAGCAAGAGGTGGAAGTTGCGCTCTCCTTCACCAAGGTCCAAATACCACGAAGAATTAATAGCTGGGCTTCTGTTGAATGCAATTATAAATATAGATGGAAAGAAATAGGAAATGCGCCTTGCGTGGAAATATTGACATGTTACGATTCTTTTACAGCGAGTTCGGAATATCTATTTGCTTTTTTATGGACTTCATAATATTATTAAATGTATATGTTCAAGCAGAGGTCTATGCACACACAGAAATATTGAGCGGAAAAACGGTGTAATTGAAAGTACCAAAAGGAACATTTTTTGGTGTAAAATTACTCTGTTTTCTGGGTAAAAGAACACTCATATGTGTGTTTTGCTAGCTTCGGAGTGCTTCACTATTGTGTAGGAGAACCGCTTTCAGTGTAACTTTACCGCGGATCTCGCGTTACATTTACGCACAAATATGTGTTTTTGGTAAAAAGTACCAAAAGGAACACTCGCGTGGTAATCGTACACAAATTCATGACGGTAAATTTACACAAATATGACGGTTATTATAACGATTTTTTCTGGTAAAGCTAATGTTGGGCCCGCAAAATTTGTAACGCAAGCGACACGCGGCGGGACGTTGTCGCCAGCCGCGAGCCTAGCTAAATGCAACGAAACATTGTGATGCTCAATGCCTACCCCATGCTGCAAACACGTTTGTTTGTTTGTCGTTTATTGTTAAGAATCGACATCACATCTGACGGAAATAAAAGTTAGATTAGCGTATATACCTTATCATGTATATAAGCTGATATTTCACAACGCATGGGCGCCGCACAGGTCGCAGCCACCGCCCGTCTCCCGTTAACTGCCCGTAATTAATTAATAAATAAAAAATATATCGTCTGTACGCGCTACTTCACTGTGCCAAAATTATCGTTCATTTAATTAGCCATCGGCTCTCTGTTGCCTATCTGGCAAAATATTAGCATACCTATACCTAATTGACCCTAGAAAAGCATGAAAGTGCATCCATTATTTTCATAACACGACAGCAGCTCAGTTGAAAAATTACAAGCCCACCTTAGCACTCCGACAAAGCTGGATAATTTCCAGCAGCTCCTCCAATGTCGCTCCGCTTCAGATTTCAGACTCGGTCTTGATTGCAGTTATCGGACGATGACCACAATGCAGTATTTCACTTATTATTCACTTAGTCACTCATTACTCAGCTTATTATCGAACTAGATAAACACCACAGCACTGTTTTATCTCACTGATCGCACAAGAATGGGCAAACCCACTCTGCGCACTGCAGCCACAACACTCCCCCGCCGGCCCCCGCGGTCCCCGGCGCACAACTGACAGATTGCGAAAATGGCGCCGCCGCCGTCAGCATATAGCTCAAAATTTCGCTACATTTACACTGGTTGACGTAAACGAACGGTGCTCTGGATGTGTACCGCAATTACCAGTGCGACACAACACTCATTCGCGTATGGATACACTTGCTTTGCATGGAAACATATCAGTTAGGTATTTGAACATCTGTTATGCTGTTACATTATCCTGTTTTGCGTAAAGATGCTTGTGTGGTGTAATAAAACTGCCGATGTTTGTTAGATAACCAATAAACGTCGTATAAAAACAAACTTATTCTTGATGCCTTTACTTATTATGGCGTTGTGCGACGGATACCTTGCTTATTTATCACGAAAATACTTAAACTAAAGATATTTTACTAAGTGAAGCAGAACTTTGAAGCTAATTGAACTATTTACGAGTATATTGAACTTGACATCGCTCAATATTTCTGTGTGTGTGGTTCAAGCATGCAACGTACCTCACTAAGCACCAGTCGCTTCATTTGCACATCATCAGTTGCGGTACACTGAACAGTTACCTATGTATATGCTATACCTATCCCATACACTATCCTCGCCGACCTGGCTGTTCTTTGACTGAATGAACGTTCATTCTTTCTGCCAAGGTCTGGTCTCTGGCGGCGCTGTATGGAAGCAGCTTCAAACACGGGGCGAATCACCGTGGTACGAAACCATTAGGCAATTACCACACATCACACAGCGTACGTGATCCGACTCGGCATTGGTAGTTAGACGCGGATGCTCCATGTTCCCTACCATTGACTCCATTGATGATTTGTGTTGATGACCTGATTAGCATTCCGCCTTTATCAGGATGAAAAGCAGCCAGCGCTGGCTGAAGCTGCGGACGACTGTACAGCTCTCCGGTGCTCTGGCCACGGCCGGAAAACAAAAGCCCACGCTCAAACGGGAAGACTCGTTCATCACACGGTTTTCTACCAGGCAAATCATCGAGACTCAGGTACGTCAGCGATGGCAGTAACGCATAAGGGAGTCGGATCCCACTAATTAATACAAAAGGTCAAATGAGTTGGCTGTAGGTATATAGTGAGTGGCTCTCGGTATAGAGAATGATGTCGCATCCATCACTTGTCACCGATGACTGGAATGGCATGCTGTTTCGGCTGACACGCAACTTTAGCTTCAACAGCCTATTCCTGTCACATTTGCCCGTAACTATGCCCCAGCGCCAGCGCCAGGCCCAGCGCGCTCTCACAGAAGAGGTTAAACTGCGTGCTTTGCGGCACAGCCTACCATTTCAGTTAACCGACGTCAGTGGAACTTGCACCACCTAGGTATAGTGCTCAAATATCAGCTTATAGTACAAAATGCAATGAACAATAGTTATGAAGCGACTATCTGGCGTGTACTGAGTCAATTGCAGTTTTCTGAAAACATGTGCAATTTGTGTGACTCGTTTTAATATATGATGGCTCTCGAAGCAGATTCGATCGCTTTCAGTTTCCGCAGTCACGGCAATATAGAAGCATAAACCTCTGCAACGGTACAGCCGTGGCAATGTTTTTAGGATATAGCCGTAAGTGACGATCGACTGAATGCTCCCAGTTCGATAACTCGGGGCTCAGCTTGTTGGAACAGCCCATCGGCTCCTCTGGAACGAGCCCCTCTGTTTGGTTATGGGAGGGTTCCATTGAACCAATCAGACCATTACAGAGCAAAGGGTAGGGTGTTATTGGCATTGTGGGGCGTGGAGCCAACCTCTCTAGAGATGAAAACGCATCCAGCAGCCGTGTTCTACTGTCGTCGAAAGGTAATGGTTCGGAGCACCGCATAGACCGGCCGCTGACGCTGCAGTGCTATCTACCGACTGAATTCAGCGCCTGTCTATGTGGAAGACCGACTGAAGTTTCCTCTGCGGAATATCATCTTCATATGTCACAGGGAACCCTCTCGAAAGGACGGCGTTGCCCGCAGGCAATGGCAGCGGTTGACACCCCGGCACGCATCTGCCTCTGGTTTGTAGGACCTAGGTGCCCGATTTGTACCTGGCAGTGCCTGGTAGTTAGGTGTGTGCATAGCAGCCGCAGCCTGTCGGCAATCAGGGTGGCCGGTGGCTCAGCCAGCTATTCGAAAACCTAAATGTTGGAGATAGCCGTTCAATGGTCTTCTATAATCTATTGTCTCGAGGTGCTGATATAGAGCTGTCGGTACCGAGTCCGCTCATCGATGTAGTTAGAGTGTGATTGACGACGGGGTCATGGATGAGTTAATAATGGATTGGTGTCTTCGCAGTTTTTGGCGACATTGAGCTCAGGCCTGCCATCTAGTGGGAGAATTATCGTAAGTTAGGAGCAAGCCGAGTGAACGCCGCTGATTAGCATTGTAACACACGGGAGTGTGGTGTAGTAGCGGGCTTGTTGTGCAATTTTTCAAAAAGTTACGTCTATATATGTCAGTAAAAGCGAAAAAATTAATAGATTTATGTGCAGCGTCAGTAATAAGATAAGCAGTTCCATGTTATTTCCTCATTAAATCGTGAAACAGGGAGTTATAGGAGACTTCGCCAGCACGTGTCGTTTTCCCTATTTTTCACATGAGTCTTTACTTGGCCTAAATCAAACAAATTGCCCGATCAAAGAACAAAACGAACGTTAAGTACTATCTATAAGTCTAATGAAAAAGTTAAACGGAATTGCTAACGTCATTGCCGCTCAATTTGTCATTCAAGACGCTCTTTGAAAAGGACCCAACCAATGCTATGTAGTCAATGAACTTTCAGTGACTTTGGCTCCAACTCCGATTCCGGTATCCAAATATCGACTCCGACTCCTCCGGGCAGAACTGTCGATTCACGCAGACTCCGACTCTGACTCCGACTCTGCAGCCCTGGTAAGTCTGTGGAGTCGATGACTTTTCGGTGACGTTCGACTCATACTCCGACTACAGCTTTTAAAAAATCAACCGACTCCGAGTCGGAACTGAACCGCTGGCTCTGACTACAACTCCGCAGCCCTGGCCCAATATAGCCACCTAAAACAACTTTGATGTGTGATCTTCTTCGTACGTAGGTACATTGTTAATGTTATTTTAAACAAGGGGTGGAAAAGGGAGACGAAGCCTTCACAAGCAAGGATCTCCTGTTGCGGATCAATCAGCTGCTGGAACAGAAAGGCATAAACACCACGCATCTCATTTCCTCGTTTTCTTTACGACTCTGCACCAATGTAAGCACTGATCAATGCAGTGCGAGCATCGATGTGACATTTGTGTACAAAGTTTGAGTGTTATCCGCCCAGCCGTTCTTGAGATATGGAAGCGGCACCCGCACGTGCGCACGTGCAGTAGCACCCTCATAGTGACACATGGAAATGCATTGGCCACTGGGTGCCTAACTATTAACGAAGTTTTACTGTAATGGGCCCAGCCATTGCGGAGTTACTTTATGTGGAACAATTTCGACACCCCTAAGTTGGCACGTGGCACGTGCCGTAACAATTAACCAAGATGAAGAAAATCGAGCGAAATTCGGAAAAGAAGGAATAAGCCTACCAAATATGTATGACATATTGTCAAACTGCTGTATCATTGTGAGTAAATGACGCAGGGCCTCGCCTAAGGAACTTTGACTACTGGGGCAAATCGTCAAAGTGTGTTGGCGCCCTGCTGGGGGGGGGGGTGTTTGAACACCTGCGGTTTTTCCTGAGGTTTTTCGCGGATATCTAAAAAACGGCGGCGCTCCATCATCCATCAATTCTACACGTGTTGTAAAAATTTCAGACCAAGATCATTCAAGATCAGGTCACCAGGTCACTTCAAGTGACCTCACCTCATAAAATGTTTCAATGAAGGTATGCCGTAGCTACACCGACGAAGTGACCGATCGCTTTGAAACTGTCAGCGGTTGATAAGAGCAACAGCATGTACAAAATTTCTATCTCGGAATTTTCACATCGGTGACCTAAGGTCAGCTCAATTTGCGATTTGCGACCTCTATTATAAGTCAATGGGAGAAAATTCAAAACCACCTCTTTTGGAGGAAAGTTATTCTAAACACTATAAAACACTGTACGTGACTTCGACACACTGAACATGAAAATAGCACCCGTGACCCTTGTTTATGCCCCTGAGGTTATCTCAGTTCACGAATGGTATCTAACAGTTTTTCGCGAATAACTTTGAAAGAGGCATGCTAGAGCGATGAAAATGCCTTAGTTGTGTTTGGCTCGACGATTCAGATGGACTGATATGCAACATGACAATTTCCGGTCAGATCATGACCTTGACCTGAGGTCGAATTTTCAAGTTGACATTCAAGGTCAAATTGTTGTTAATTTGATGTCTTGACGAGAGGAACACGATGTCGGTAAAAGAAAGCTCGTGCAAGGCATGAGCCAAAAGTTATTGCAGAAAAATTGTCCCCGAAAAAAATCGTCTATTTTGGTAGTTTTTGCCCCTTGCAGGCAAAACCGTTGACGTTCGGTCAAATCTTAGAGAAATAACCAGAAAGCATGCCAATGGCTATCAAATGCGCTTTTCCGCGGTGCTGTAGCTCTAATTGGTTCCCGAGTTATGCGTCGGCATCTTGTAAACTGTCGATATTCGACCTGAAAATCGGCGAAATTTGGCCTTCACCATGACCTGACCTTTGACCTGACCAAGTAATTTGCCGAAGTGGCCGAAGTAATTTCGTCATTATTTTTGACGCTCTTTCGAACGAAGATGGATTATGGGGTGCAAAAAGATATGTTTGCCAATGCAGCCTATATTTTTATGGAAATTGAGGGTGCAGCTGCACACAGTAACTCCCTGTTCCGCCGCCCCTGATTTCTTGCCACAAACGTCTTCAACCACTCCCGAATGAAAGAATGTACGTTAATATTGGTATATTCTCATTTTGTGGAGGTTGGGCAAAGCCTGACCACTACTGGGGCATTCCTAGACTCTACTGGGGCATTTGCCCCAGTAGTTAACATGTTAGCCGAGGCCCTGAAATGACGATTGAAAAGGTCGTACAAGCCGATGGGACCGGGCGTTTCAATACACACCGTCTTACGCATTTTATTTTCGTTATTACCTAAATGCTGCTCGACATTTTTGGCTTTCAAGCATTTAAGACATTTTTATCGTCTCAAGTCCAGTAAGATTACCTCCAACTCGTGGGAATATGCACTTCAAGCCAACTAACACACCACACCCACGTGTGTCATAATGCTGAGAGATGGCGTTCACTCGGCTCGCTCCTAACTTACGATAATTCTCTCGCTAGATGGCAGGCCTGATCCCAATGTCGCGGATCCCAATGTTAATTTCCACGAGACACCAATCCAGTGTTATATCATCCATGACGGGGTCCGCCCCCAGAATCCCGGTTCAGGCGCCCAAGTGTCCATAGGCGTCAGCGGGGACTGAGCCAGTGTCAGCACAGACGCGGCAAAAGTTGCCGACAGGCGATAGAGCGGTCTATTTCACTCCTCATTTGGGCCGCCCGATCGACGTCCATCGTCGATCTTCAGACACAGTAATTCGCGATCCGGATGGCTCTTTTCTCGGGCTGCCTGGAGTGACGAAATAAAACGCCGACGGCCGCGCCTCCGTCTTTGGCAATCGTGCAATCTCGGAGCTTTGTCAAAAGAACAGAGTGTCCGCCTTTCCGAGGTTGTGGTCAAATTTACAGTTTGTATAACAGATTGTGTTTTCAGGCGTGCTCTATCTGGTGCTGCTGTTCATACTCAGTGCCAGACATGTTGGCTGGCTGACTCGCCTGACTGAGGGCTGGCTGTGACCAGCGCTATGGTCTGACTGTGATTGGCGCTGTGACCTAGCTGTTATGAGCGAAATGAGCCGCCTCTGACCAGCACTACCACGATCTTTGCTATTAATCGTCTGACTTGGTCATGCCTCTGATAAAAGCAAAGTGGTCTTTTACCATATACATTTCCTGAGATGTTATACAGACATTACGTTGTAGGAAAGAACTAAGAAGCTGCGAGCCAATCACGTTTTACGTCTTACGTATGTCGTTAACTCCTGACAACCTATTGGCTCCGCTTGGCCCCATGCCAGCCTGAGCCCACTTCTTTGCGCTATCCATCCATCGAAGACTCATCCATCAAATGTGTGTCGCAACTTTGGTGCCCTCTTTCGAAACGAAACTTTTTTTACTAGCGAGCTTGGTAATAATGTTGAAACCGTTATATGTACTTACCTATACGATTTTAGGGGACACATATGCTTCCGTATGTACCCACTGCGGCTGTAACGGCCAAGTGTGGTTACAGCAGTTTTGTGCTACTGTGTGGAGGGCATTTGTGCCTATGAAATGAGTGTTTACTTGACTGGCTGTTAGCTCTGCTCGTCACTTTTTGCAGGATACTGTCGAAGATCACTTGTCTGAAAACGAAAAGGAGAAGGGCACCAATGACGCGGGACCCCGCAGCCGCCGCAAGAAGCCACCGTGGAGCGTGATCAACCCGGACGAGAGTTTCTACTTTTTCTGGCTGTTTCTGCTGACGCTGTGTGTTCTGTACAACGTGTGGACGCTGATCGTGCGCCAGGCGTTTCCGGAGCTGCAGGAGAACTGGCAACAGTGGTGGCTGGCCGGCGACGCCTTCAGTGACTTCATCTATGTGTGTGACATTATCGTGCAGCTGCGCACCGGCTACCTGGAGCAGGGCCTGATGGTGTACGACTCGCACAAGCTGGCGCGCCACTACGTGCTGTCGCGGCCGTTCGCGCTGGACCTGGTGTCGGTGGTGCCGCTGGACCTGCTCCAACTGACGGTCGGCGTCTGCCCCATGCTGCGCTGCCCGCGCTTCGTCAAGGTGTACCGCACACGCTGCTACTACTACATGGTCGAGTCTCGGACGGTGTTCCCGAACGTGTGGCGGGTGGCGATGCTGGTGCACGTGCTGCTGCTGCTGGCGCACTGGTTCGGCTGCTTCTACTACCTGCTGTCCGAGGCGGAGGAGTTCCGCGGCGACTGGGCCTACCCGCACGGCGACTCGGAGGAGTTCGGCACCCTCACCAGAAAGTACCTGGCGTCTGTCTACTGGTCCACACTGACGCTGACCACCATCGGCGACCTGCCGACGCCGCACACCAACAACCAGTGAGTGCCGACAGTCCCACACACACCTACAACTAGTGAGTGCTGATTCTCTACACCAACAACCAGTGAGTGTTGTCAACGCAGCACACCAACAACCAGTGAGTGCCGACCGTCCCACACCAACAACCAGTAAGTGCCGACCGCAACACACTCACCAACAACCAGTGAGTACCGACCGTCCCACACCAACAACTAGTGAGTGCCGACCGTCCCACACCAACAACCAGTGAATTCCGACCGCAGCATACCAACAGCAAGTGAGTGCCGACCCCAACACGCTTATAACTAGAGTGCCGATCGTGACATACAACAACCAGTGAGTGTCGACCATGACACACACCAACCACCAGTGAGTTCCGACCGCAACACAACAACAACAACCAGTGAGTGTCGACCGTGACACACACCAACCACCAGTGAGTTCCGATCGCAACACAACAACAACAACCAGTGAGTACCGACCGTGACACACACCAACCACCAGTGAGTTCCGATCGCAACACAACAACAACAACCAGTGAGTACCGACCGTGACACACACCAACCACCAGTGAGTTCCGACCGCGGCAAATCAACAATCAGTGAGTGCCGTGTCACACAACAACCAGTAAGTGCCGACCTCAGCACAATAACAATCAGTGAGTGTTGACCGCGACACAATTGAACAGTGATTACGGACATTCATTCTTAGTAAAAGGTAGCAGTGAGTACTGAGTACCCTTGATCAACAATCAAGGGGTACATACCTACCAACAACGATATCTGAAGTTACTTGGCGACTGGTTGTGCTTTTGAGTGGTTGAAGCTTGCTAAAACCTCTAACTTTAAACCTAACGGTTCAATCTGACCTGCCATAAAATTTGAACAATCCTGTATAACTGGTTTACCAAGAGACATAAGGTAAAAGGTCGTTTATTTAATGTTTTGATAGATATTTCCATTTATATTCCCTTTGATAAAAACGTTTCTGTTTAGCGGAGCAGGCCTATGTACCTAACAAGGAATTCATTTTCTTGCGTTCTTATGTAACCTAATGGATCAAATGTGACAAGCACAATCCTTTCACTTCGAAATGAAAATTACATAAGACTTTGCTGATGATTGTAAAACCATCATCCAGGAAGGCTTTCCAAGACGGCAGCTACACAAAGCTGTGACATTTGTGCATCTAACGCAATGCTTTACACGTCGGATAAGGGTCAAACTCTGCTTATTTCGATATCAAGCATTTAACTTCAAGAAGTCAGCTCATGCTTTATCAGCTCATGACTGATTATGATGGGGGCTAGATTCATAAATCACTGACAAGCAGAAGTGCTAAGCGAAAAGATTCTTAGAAAAGAGAAATGACCATGCTATGGCGCCGCATTGTTTGTCATACTGATTTCCAAACGTCACGAGATGACATAAATGGGGCGATGCATCACTCACTAGCTGACTAAAACGGCATAACTCAGCATCCAAATCAGTCGACCATCAGTGCAGAATGGTTCTCAGCAAAAAGACAACAATGCTGTGTTCACATGGCTCAGCAGTACATATGCTCGCCATGTCAACGCGTCCTGCCGTGCTATCGCGGTCCATCCCTATGCCCTGCGGCTCCAGCCATGGGCGCATACCGGCACACAATCAATAACGTTTCTCTTATACGCAAACCAGCCTTTGTGAAGGTCGGCCTGGCTTATACAGCAAACCAAAGCCCGAATACAACAGCTAGCTTTGTACTGCAATCCAGCAAATAGGACCGGTCGAAATCAGCCGCACATAGCGGCACTGGACCAACGGAGATCCCGTTGGGCCCCGGCCAATTTCCGGCCGTCAAATGGTGCATAACAGCGGCCGATCAATTCGCCTCCCTCGGTGGTGCGCACCGGCTCAAGGCTGACGTGAACGCGTAGGACATATGAGGTGCTGCTCTGACGCACCAGATATGGCATAGGGTGTGCATTGGAGCAAATTTAGCCCACTTTCCGCCTCGCTTTCGTTCCAGTCATGAGGCGAACGCATTTTTTTCACAGCAACAAATTCGAGAGGTTGTAAAATTGTATCTGTTCTCACTAGTCGGCACACTTTTGGTCAGAAACAAACACCTCTAATGAGTGAGATTGTAAGAGATTTATTGAGATTGTAAAAGAACATTTCATAATTCTTTTCTCTTCAGTTATTCAGCTCAGAGGATGACAGCCCTTTCAAGAATGTGTCATTTGATGCCGAGGTAAATTGTGATTATTTTACCGGAAGGTAATCAAGTGGCGCTGTTTTCTGTGCAGTCTCTTTGCAAAGAGTTAATCAAGGTTTAGAATGTCACTTATTGTTAAGCTTCATTTGTTAGGCAAAAGCTATGTAGAAGCGTTCTTACATGGATTCCTGTGACTATTGTGGTAAGCAATGGCTGGACTAAACTTGGCTGGTTTACCTTTGACATGTGCTTATATAGGTATCTATGTATTTGTCAACAAACTTCTATAGCTTGATTTGCATTCTTAAATAAACACCAGCATGTTTTTATGCGTATTTACACACATGTTATCCCGCGCCCTACTGGGATATTTTCCTAACGCGACTTATTGCAAAGCGCTATTTTCCTTTGATCTAAGATAACAATAGAATCAATTTCTGAACTTGAAACAACGCCATTGGCTTTATCAAATTTGTCTCCGTTTCACTGACGTTATGATAAAATTGACACTAGATGGGCTGGAAACGTTGACCAGTGGTGTCATAGTCAATTCGTGTTTTGTAAATGGATCACATAAGTGCTAAATATTTATTCTGATTTCGGACATAACTGTGTTATTGTTAGCTCAGGCTGCAAAAAAAAAACATTTTTCATTGGTGAAAAATAAAGAGCAAGGCAATTTTTTATAAGACTGCAATGACATCAAGTCCGGTCACACAGGTCAGGTCACGAGAGGTCGCTTTGAGCAGAAGTCAAGTAACGATCACCTCAATAAAGGTTATTGAAGAACATATTAAAGTTATTTCACGTGAAAAAGCCGTTCATACACTAGGCTCATCTCAACACCAATAATATTGTGATAGCGACTGTCAAAATAATGAACTGTCTGGATGTTTTATCTTGTATAGATCTGTCAAATATAGACTGTATAGGTGTATTTACTCATATTTCTATATTGAACACTATATCGATTCGAGCAATATCTGCAAAAATAATAGGAACATTTATGGTCCCGATTTTTGTGTCAAATATCGGCAGGCAAATAGACGACACCGTAGAACACTCAATATCAGTTATATAGTGACGTCAGTAATTCAATAATAAGTAATAATATAACTCTTCATCAGTAATACATGTAATACAGTATATGTCTATGACGACACCCATACCACAAACGCAATTCCCGGTTTCTACAAGCAAAAACTTAAAGCTACTGTTTTATATAAGTCATTTTTTGGCGACAGTTAAATATGTTATTTTAGCAGTAACAGCTTATAAAAAATATCCACAGTAGGTCGCGAGTTAATGTATATAAAAATGGAAAGTAAGTAAGTCAAATTTGCATCATTTTCATCAGACTTTAAGTGGAACATCTTACCAGACATTTGGTTCAGGCTATGTTTGCAATAGTATTTTCCGCGAAAAAAAGAAAGTGCTGCTGGAGTCATGCCCTTTCTTTGACCTGACCTTGTGACCAGCCTTCGATATCTCGTGGACATGGCTCGCTATAACAGTAATTGTCAGTAAATAGCGTATTTCTCCATACGAGGCGATTGTAAGAAATGTTTTGTTTTGTAGTTATGGATATTTCTGCTATGCACGAACTGAAGACCAAACGAGGCGTCGCAAATGTAACTAATAGTGGATTACTATTTTTCCGTAGTTGTGCATCCCCCCCCCATTCTTAAGAGCTCATGCAAATGTCTTGGTTCTAGACAAACGTTTCAATACAAAATGTTTTAGTCTACCTCAAACGATTCTTTATAAAATAAAAATTACTAACGGGAGCCGCATTGTGGAGACTGTCAGTTGATCTTGAAAAATATCACAAACAAACTAGAAATATAGATATTTATGATGGGTTAAGTGCACCTTAACTAGATCACGTGGAAGGTGGGTTTGAACTTAGGTTAAGATCACATGACCTGACCTGGTGACCTCGACTAGTGTCGTTAAGCTAAGCATTTTGCAAATTACGCACACAAAAAGAAAGAGGGAAATTCCATGATGAAACCTGAGCGTTAGTGAAATTCTCCAGCAGGGCGCGGGCTACAGTAAACTAATGTCGGAATTCTTGCCTTGTTTTCCGTGATTAGCGTGATTCACTGTGAACCACTGCGTCATCAGCAGTGCTTTCATTCGGTCACGGACGGCTTTACCATTAATTTGTTGGTTTTTTAATACTATTATGATGCCATTACGGCATTATCAAATAAATTAACGCATATTCACTACAAAAAGTGGCCACTCAGTTACATTGACGAGTTCCGACACTAGTTTACGGCGATCAGAGTAGCCGGGTTTGGAGGCGTCTGACAGCGTTCCTCCGCCGACAGTACGGGTGGCGCGGGTGGCCGCGGTCACGGCTCCTCCGGCACTGGCCGGCGCCACTTCAAGTCGCGGCTGACGCACATCAGAACGAGCAGCGGGTCAGTGCAGGGCTCCGTCATAGGTGCCACCCGGATCAGTGCAGGGCTCCGTCATAGGTGACACACTGTCCGCAGGCGGCATTAAAAGGCCCTGTCACGGACCTGTCACTCTGACCGCAGCCGGCACCGGAGAGCGCCGCTCCGGCCAATGCTGAACGCCACCCCATTCCAGCCGCACTCTGTGATCTTGCACTCTGAATCACTCACTATGATAGCAGCCCTACATTGAGATTCAGCATCATATTGTATGCTCCAGTCTCCCTGCATTCCCAACAGTTTCAAAGGTTTTTTTGTTCTGGCCTTTAACGATCGTCTCCACGCAGACTGCCGCGGATTATGTAGGTGTCTGCGCCACCGTGCGACTAAAATCGTAACGACTGCCTGCTTTCACGACTTGAGTCCTGCTCGGGGGTTACACCCGTTCAGCTTATTGTAAACGGCGAAAAATGTGTCGGGTCACCAGGTCAGGTTAGTTTATTTAATTCAATTAAATTCAAACATTATCTAACCAGTGTGCTAAGGTAGAGAAATATTTTATACAGGATCTCCAGGCAAAAGTAATGAAGCCAGCGCAAAGAAAAAAAGTTGTATTTTCATGTAAAGATTATATATCCTGCTCAAAATGCTGTGATGTCCTCAATGTAGGGTCTTTCAACTTTGTAATTGGTTGAATTTTAGGGATAACATTTGCAAATCTCAGCCTCTTTCCCCGTCACCGGTTGCGGACCACTGCGAGCAGTGCTCACCAGATTGGGAGGGGCATGAGGCTCGAGGCCTGGCATCAGCGCCAGACACTCTCAGTCCTATCAGGCTTGCGCGCGCTAGAACGAGTGACAAGCACGGATCATCGGCTGGTTGGGTGAATTCGTAGTGTGCCATTTCACCTTCGTTCCGTAACCAGAGGTTTGAAAACGCCTTGTCGGAAAAGTTATCCCTCGCCGGACCTATTGGTTTTCTACATACGCGCCGGCCGAGGGGGGGGGGGGCGGGTACGACCCCCCCTTGCCGTTTCGCCCCTGGTGGAGCTAGCGCGTCGCGGAAAAAACGAGCGTGTGCGCCGTTACGAGACGCAGAGATTGGTACCCGATTTTAAGGTCCTAGGTCAACCGGTGACCTCTGAGGTCAGGTCAAGTGCCCCAGGGTACGGTTCAGTTTTTGGTGAATAACTTCGCAAAAAACGGCCGCAGAGCCGCGATTTTGGCAGCATCGTGTTGCCTTGATCAGGCGCGTCGAATGATATACTTTTTGTCCGGGTCAGGTCAACTTGGGGTGTTGACCTCAGGTCAAGGTCAGGTCAGCACCCCCAGGTCACGAAGTTGGTCGAAAGAGGTCATGTCGCATATCATTCGATTCGGCAGGTCTTCCTGAGTCCATTGGTGGCTTTCCCGACTCGCTAGCTCAATTTGATCGGGAGTTATTGACGAAAAACTAATATGACCTTGATGACGTCATAAATGACGTCACGGAAGGTCAACATTGCAAAAGTGACGCATCTAACCTTGCAAGGAGTGCATCAAATCACGATTCTGTGTGCTTGAGATAGTTGGAGATCGTTCCCGGCGCCAGAATAGCAGTTTGAATTTTTCCCCATTGACTTATAATGGTGAGGTCACGAAAATGACCTGACCTCATATGACCTTTAGGAAAAATCCGAGATATACAAGTTGTGAGACTCATAATGGATACTAGATCCTGCAAGTTTCATTTCCCTGTGACATCTCCTCTGGCAGTGAGGGCGTTGCGAAGTTGCAACATCTGAAGACCGTGCAGAGGTTCACTTATGACGTCATAGGTCAGTGACCTGACCTGACCCAAAAATGCGGTTGGTGTCAAAAGATGCGGCTTGGATCAAAGGTCAGCTATGCCAAGTTTCAGCTCTCTATCGCCAGCGTGTTCGGAGCTATCGCGAAAAAACCCTATGGGGGGGGGCGGCACCCGCCCCCCCCCTCGGCCGGCGAGGGTTATATCATCGGTAAAAATGTTATTTCAGCTGTTATCAGCCGGTTAAGTAGGATGTGCCTCATGATTGATGCGACATTATGCATGATATCTGAAAACATTCTTCAACAAAAGATGGAAGGTAATAAATTGTAAACATAAGAATGGAATTGATTTGGGGCACCCTCAATTTAGTCATTTTTTTCATGTAACATTCTTCCTAAGTGAAGATAACATCACACTTTGTCATGCAGACGATGACTCTGTTTCTCTTTGCAGGTATCTTTTCACCATTGTCAGCTACTTGATAGGGGTATTCATATTTGCTACAATTGTCGGTAAGTACCGTTTTGCAGCGTTGCAATAAGCGTTGGCCTGAGATATTCAGTTCAGAATGAATGAATCCATATTCGGTGGATTTTAAAACGCAACGATCCGCCGTTCAGCAAATGACGCATGGCTCTCGCTCGAGAGGGACTGGTGATTGTCATTGATGACGGTGCCATGCTGTTGAGAAATAAGCCAGCCTTTCTGATGATGTGCCCCATTCCAGGCCAAGTGGGGAATGTGATCACAAATCGGAATGCAAATCGGCTGGAATTTGAACGCTTATTGGTACGTATTTGTCAGAATAGTAACCGGTGGAATAAACCACAGCTCGTGAATATGATCTGCTCATAAATCTGTTGTCATCTTTATGATGTGTTAGGTACTGTATATTGTTTAACCACATGTGCTAATTCCGGCTGTACTATGGAGGACGAAGGTGCACGACATTCAACACATTTGAAAGTGCAACATTTCCGTTCTTTTATTCGCGGAACAAAATGCCACCTCGGTAATCTTTATCTGAGTATTTATGCGCTTTGCACACATAAATACTCACAAATATTTGGAGCTTTATTGATTGAATGCTGATCGGAGATCTAGACTCATTTACCTTGTAAGCCTCGCCACGTTTTCTACGGGTGCCCTGGTAGAATACTGTTGGACATTTAAAAAGCAAGTGATGTGAGACATCTGGACGGTTCCCTAATTGTGATGCAAAAATTGTCTCCCTAAGTGGCTGGGAAGTGTCGCCTGAGTCCGAACGCTGCATCGTTATTCCTGAGCTTTTAAGATGAAGAGGTCAGTACAGCGCTCTTCACTTAGTGCCGCCGCCCATAAACCACGCTGGTCATGTGTGCGCGGCGCAAACTAAAACCTGCTTAGAAGATGCCGCTCTGCACGGTTTAACTGCACTTTTCAGCTAACACCAACAGGCCACTGCATAAATATCGGCAACGCGTTGGCCGCTCTGGGTTTCAAAGCTGGTCAATTGTGGACCAAGCATCGGAACGGGTGTTTTTACGGAATGGCATTTATTTAGTATTTCCGCGAACCGATTTTATCTTTCATAATAATTTGTAGACATGTGCTGTTTTGACTATGAAGTAGGTATGTGGTGCAATGCCTATTGCCTATATTGCCTATTGTCAATGCCTATACAAGGAATTTGCTGAGGAAACAGTATTGATCAGTCTTTGCTCGCGGTACCGGATACTGTGTGCAGTGCATACTGCTAAGAATTGAAATCAATAGGTCAACGCTTAGTTTCTGTGAGCCAGCACTTTTTGCTCTCAAGCTTATCAGAGCTAAAATAGAGGTAATTTGAACGCGACAAAAACTTAACATCAGCTATATTGCTGGTGTGTTCTGGTGAAGCTGGACGTGGGATATTATGCCGTTTGTATGACTGCGGCAGGCCATTACTATGCGTTGGCGTAATGACCATCAATGGCCAAGACACATGACTGACTGATTGGTCGTTGTTCTGACACCCTGCTCTGTGTACAGGACAGCGCCAAGCTGTACATGCGCCACCACCGCGTGCCGCGCGCGATGCAGCGTCGCGTGCAGCGCTGGTACGACTACTCGTGGTCGAGGGGCCACATCCAGGGAGGCGGCGACATTAACGCCGTGCTCGGTCTCCTGCCGGACAAGCTGCGTACCGAGCTGGCCCTGCATGTCAACCTGATGACGCTGAAAAAGGTGAGCGGCCGCTCCTGCTCAGTAGCAAATGCTTCTGTTCTAAATTGATAATATGCCGACATGAGTGCCTGAAAATGCGCATAGTTTGCTTCCAAGGCGCTCACTTCAGACCCAACCAGTTTTCAGCTCTTCCATTTTACGAGACGAGACAACGCGTGCTTTTTCATAGTCGTGAAAAGTGTAAACAAGACAAATGAAAGTGGGAGCAATTTGTGCCGACACCCGTCAGGATCCTCCTTTATGAGGTGATTTATTAGTCTGACAGCCAAACTGTTTTCCATAATGAGTCAGCATGTATTTGGCTTTACAGGTGACCATTTTTAAGGCCTGCCAGCCCGAGTTCCTACACGACCTGGTGCTGAAGATGCGGGCGTACATTTTCACGCCGGGGGATCTGATCTGCCGGAAAGGCGAGGTGGCCAGAGAAATGTTCATCATCGCCGATGGAATATTGGAAGTGATCAGGTCGGTACGGAACACTTTCCCGTGAATGCTCTGTCTGAGAATTAGTGCGAACCAAGTATCATTCAATTATTTGCGTTGATCTTCAGTTTTTTTTTTTTAAATTCAATTCGTTCATGCTTTTGACGGAGTATCCATGCTTCATTTTCCTTTTACAGTGATAGTGGAAAGGTTCTAACGACAATGAAGGCTGGTGATTTCTTCGGCGAGATTGGTATCCTAAATCTGGACGGCTTAAACAAGTGAGTGAGGAACGTGATGCAGCATTTTCACACATTCCAGTTTCATTTCACGCTTCACATGAGTTGCCGCCATTTCAACTCCCAGTAATGGCTACATGTAAGACATGAAATGTAGGGCTTCAGATGGCCCCACTGCTAGTAGCGCAGGTCCTGGATTTTGTGGAACCGGTTGGAGACATTGGTATCGTTTTAAATTGAACTGGTAGGTCCTGTGCCCCGCGAAAGTTTTGGCATTTTTACATGAATCAAGCATTGCAAGGAAAGAATGGCTGTAGTATCCATTAATAACCATTAGAGCCCAGCAATAAGTTCAGCAAGTGACACCCGTGGGCAAAGACGACACATAGTTGAATTATAAGTTTTTCCTTAAAAACGGGAGAGAAATAGGCATCCACTCGATGCGCTGGTTAAATTTAATCACGTATTCATGTGGCTCAGCTCTACTGTGCCATTAGTATCCGAGCGCCGTCGGTTTCCAGTGTCCAGCCGTTACGTCCGTCTCTGCCCGCGTTCCACCCCTCCCCAGACGCACTGCCGACGTCCGCTCCGTGGGCTACTCAGAGCTGTTCAGCCTGTCGCGAGACAACGTGCTCAGTGCCATGAGGGACTACCCGGAGGCACAGGTCAGTCCCAGCATAGTGACAACAATCACCCGTCCGTGAATGTCGACGAATAGTTCGGTGACGATTTCCTTCTTTAACCACTTTTATTTGCGCACAACTGACGTGGATAAGGCTGAGATTCATGCGTGGTAAAAATGCAGTGGAAAATGAACATAGTTGGGCGATAGAAAACTTTTAACCCTATTAGTGGCAGGGGGGGTTGTTTTTATCCACCCCTCAGGTTTTTCGGGAATATCTCCGAAACCGCTGAAGCTACGATGCTGAAATTTTCTGACTTTTCCTAAAACTAAATTGGGCACATTCCCTGAAAATTTCAAGTTCATAACTTTACCAGGGGCGGCTCCAGAGTACTGGGAATTGGGGGGTCCTATTCGTGAAGCGAGTCATTTGGGCGAAGATCACGATGCTGCACCAGTTTTACGAACAGTGAATGAAAGGTATCATGTGATAACATATACAAAAGTTATTGTGCATCCTCTTTTGACGTTTTTGCTATAATAGGCGGATCCAGGCGTCCAAAAAGGGGGGTTATTTTTTACCTCCCAACATAGGTGCCCTGACACCGCCTATGCATGACCAATACAATTTTAGTCGTTCTCTCATAAGAAATTTGTAACATAACAAGACCATTGCCACCCTTTTTAGAAACAGTACCAACAAAAACCTTATTTACTATACTTTTTTGTGTACCCCCAATCTCAATGATCTGTATCCGCCTATGATTTTTGAAAATGCATATTTTTAGGATCCATGTGAATTCCTGGTTCATTCTCTATCGATCGGCAAAAGTTGCGTTAAGATTGGTTCAGAAACCTGGCCGTGATAAACAGTCTAAAATGTATCTGCAATTTGCCCGTTTTTACCCCCCCTCCTCTACCCCCCTATTGACATTTTTCAATTTTTTTTTTAGAAATGTAGATCTCGTTGAGCGAAATCGAATGCCGTTTGAATTTTGAAAATCGGCCCGTTAGATCTCGAGATATCAAGGGGGGGTCGTAAACAGCCCCCCCTGCCACTAATAGGGGGTAGCCAGGAGCCTGCCACTAATAGGGTTAAAACTTTTATGATAGCCCTGTTTCACCGGTGATAGCAGCACGCTGCTATTACACGTGTCAAATTGGGTTTCCATGGAGACGTCAACAAGCCTATTCCTCCGACACTACCAGAAGTGTGACGTCAGCTCGCGAAATGGAATAGCAGCGTGCTGCTATTCCATTTCCTATTCCCCAGGTAAAACACCCCCCAGGTCAGTATAAGTTTAGAGATCGACAAATATTGCGCTTCATTTTTAATCGGTTTCCTTGCGAAACTGTCACTCCGGCTCTTTTATTCGATTCGTTCTGGGCTCTCAATCTTAATGTGTGTTTCTGCTCTAAAGGACGTCCATTTTCTCTCATGAATATTTCATACTGCGGCGCTCAATATTTTCCACAGCGATCTCAATTTCAGACAGCTTGCGGGTGCCTTATCATGACAATTACATATATACAATTAAAAGCTTTTAGAAGCTGCTCAGACTTGTCATCAATTGTAGCCGAATTGGTGGGTGCACATTTCTCTCATCTCTGGCCCCACTCAATATTTTCCCATTTTTATGTCCTATAGGCATTCATATTTCCATCGTTAACTAGTTTAAGACTTCGCGATGAACATTCAATTTGTTGTTCTTTCAACTGCTCGGGACTAAATTCAACACGACAAAGGCGTGCCAGTGATGAATAAGTAAATGTGGCAAAATAGAATACCGCTAAACCGTTGAGAAATATCAAAAACAACTCTAAGAATATGATAACGTAGAAGATGATAGATATAGCTACAACTTGCGTTGCGTGTCTGTTCCGCTTTCTGATAGAATTGTAAAACGGTAGTACTCGCCACATACCTACAACAAACAGTTCTAGGAATTATAAGTCCTTTGTCGCCATTTTTAAAAGAACTGCTTCTTTAGAGTTTAGGCTATAGCCCATCGTTGTTCAACAACCACGCCTCGCTACGAATGAGCCTGAAGTAACGCATGGATGTAGGCGAAGCGCGGCGCTGCAGCGGCCGCCTGGTAGATAGGCTGCCCGCAATACACTCGCCGGCCGCCTGATGGGTATGCAACCCGGAAAGCACCACTGTCCCGCTGAGACGTTTCGCGGGAATCTCGCGGGCTGTCGTCCTCGTGCGTTATCATTTTGGCAGGGTTTTGGCAAATTTCGTAACATAGAGCTTGCATCTGGTCTGGAGGCCAAAGTATTGGTGTTTATTCATAAGATTACTGCACCATAACCGTGGGTAACATGCTGCTGTTCGGCTAAGGTCCAAGAACAGATATCAGAACCGGCCCATTGAATGAATTCGTTATGGCCTGGCTGCGACGCCGGCGTGGTCTATAATAGGATTGACACGGAAAGGAGCGGCTTGAAAAGGCTGTCGCCTGGCTGTGCAGTTCCTGCTTTTGATGTTTTTTACGGAAATAATGAACGAAACAAATGCGTCTTTAATTAAGGAAGTCACCAAGCAAATAGGTGTCCCTGCCGAAGGGCTAGGTGTCACTTTGAAGTGTTCTGAGTGCCAGCGTTGTGCTGTCAGGAGATTCTGCAGACGCTCGGTCGGCGCCGGCTGCTGGAGGCTCGGAAGGCGTCCGGGGGCCGGGTGGTCCCCAACAACGGCCTCTCGGCGGGCGAGCATCCGCCGGCGGCGGCGGCCGACCCGGAGCGCGGCGCCGGCTCCGCCCACCGCCGCCGGCCCGAGGTCATCAAACACGCCCTGCGTCGGGTCCGACGCGTCGACAGGTCAGTCGCCTCCCTCTGTACCGCCCGCTGGAAGAGAACGGTGCGCGGACAGCTCTGCCTGCAGTGTCAGTCGTCTGTTCCCTTCCTCAGGAATGCAAATCCGTGGTATTGATCGCTGTCCAGCTATTGTACTCAGAAATCTGTTAGATCCTAAGGCGGCGGTTGAGCCTATCCAGGTCTGGTGCTCTTTGCGAAATCACCAAGTTTTTAGGACATGTCCAAGTCTATTATCCATCTAACTGCTAAACGGTTATCGTTGTTAGCTCAGTAATTTTGTGCACAATCATAACATTTTGCCCCTATTTTATCGTTTATAGTTCCAGCTAAGTAAGCGGTTCAGCCTTGTCCTGCTACTTGCTAACCTCTATCCTTATGTGTATGTGTGTGTGCGTGTGTGTGTCACCAGTGATGCCGACATGGAGCTGGTCCCGTGCTCCTCCGACGAGCCGCAGGAGGGTCAGGGACACGCCAGTGGTAGCGGACGGACGCGCTCCTCGCAGAGGTAAGCTCTCCACGTCATGGTATGCACGTCATCAGATCACCGTGAAATGATGGTCATAATTGAGAACGTCATCAATGGATAATCATTCATTCATTGCGAGTATTATTCCCGATAATTTGCATAAATTACTGTTAAGGCCTTTTACGATCGCTTTCTTGTCATGCCGCTGATCAGCGCCCAGTGTCCTTTGTTCTGTGTTCATTGTTCATTGCTCACTGCCCTGTGTCTACCTCCTGCGTCAGTGTCCAATTCATATACCCAACACCCAGCTCGGAGCCCGCTTTTCTGCGTTAGTCCAGTTTCCAGCTCACTGTCCCTGTGTTAACTGCTGATTCGCAGCCCCTTCAGTCCCTGCTGCTGCTGTGTGAACCTCCTCTAGCATGGTTTATGCTGGCCACCAGCTGCTGCTCTGTCGTCACTAGTGTCCCTTAGTGGCCGCACTGTGGCCTGATTCATGACCGTATTTAGACTGCGGCACCGCCGCCGAGTGGGCCATAAACCGAGGAGCATCCCAAGGAGTGGCTCGTTCAGACACAGCTCCCGGAGCGCCTGAGTAGCAGCTTGTAACCCACGCGGGGCCAGGCCGGTCGGTATACTGCAGTGTCAGATTTCGCGGTTTTAGCTTACTTATGCAGATGATCACTACATAGCCAGCAGTTTAAAGTTCAAACTCGTCTTCTTGAAAAATATATGTGTATCAACGTCGACGAGTTGGAAGTTTTAAAGCTCATCTCCCAAAATTGGAGATGGCGGTGGTGTTCTGGATCGACCCATTGGGACCGATCTGGATCGACCGCCCTCTGTAGGCACTAAGCAGTGTTCGCAGAACACGATAACCGCCGGTACTTGTGTCGGGCAGGCGGCGGAAGCTGGGCTCGACAGCCAGCCCGGACGGCGGCGGCTCGGTCGGTCGGGAGCCGTCCACAGAGCCAGAGGTGATCGGCGCTGGGCTGCCGCTGCTCCAGAGACTGCGGATGCTGCGGGACCGGCAGGCGGCCGAGCGGCCTGACGTGACCACCAGGACGGACCACGCCGAGTCCAAGGGGCCGGTGGAGGAGCGGCGAGCTGGCTCGGGCCGTCCCGGTCCGCCCGCGTCAAAATCGTCACACGGCCACACGAGTCGGGACGGGGAGAGCACGGACAGCACGCCCGGAGTCACGGTGGTGTCAGCGGCCACACAGACAAGTGACGAGGACTGCGAGCCTTCCTCCGGCGTCTCGTCCAGCCCGGCTGCGAGCTCCCCGGCTGCCTGGTGGCCGGGGTCGCCGCGCCGCTCCGAGGGGCAGGCGGCGCCGTCCCAGGAGTCGCCGCCCGGCTCCGACTCTGCCGAGCGGCGCGGCCTCAAGAGCATCCTGCGCCGGCTGGCGGACCCGACCGAGGCGCCCGCGCCGCCGCCCGTTCCGGCCACCGTCCAGGGGTATCTGTCGCGCAAGCGGAACCTGATGAAGTCTGTCTCGTTCAACCAGCACTCTCCGCCGGGCTCTCCGGTCGGCTCGCGCGAGGCGTTACCGGATGTCACGTCGCAGGCGACGCCGCCCCCGCCGACCGCCTGCCTCATCCAGGCCAGCGACGTGGTGGCCGAGATACGCAGCCTTCTTCAAGAGAAACTGGTGAGTGGGAGTGGTTCTGGGGGTCACTAACGGTTTTGTAACACAGCCCATCAGTCAGCTGTGCCACTCAGCCCACCATTCGACGATAATGACCGTCTTATCGGCCGCCGCCGATAAGACCCGTTGAGGGCTCCAGCCGCGACCACGGCGGCGCTGAGCCCGGGGGGACGGGCACGCACAAACAGGACGGGCGGGCAATAACTGGGGAGCTCAGTCGGGGAGCGGCCGCGACCGCGAGAGGAGAGGAGTGACGCTGCGACACAGGGACCTACTCCACATTTTTTTTTCTCCCCTCCTTTTTTTCCTACCTATTCGTCGTGAACTCGGTGGCGGCAGCGCCAACGAGGGATCGATCATTATCAGCCAAAGCACAGTATAGTGGGCGCCGGCGGTGCGCCGGCCCGGAGACCTCAACGGGACATTTCATTACCATTGGGCTGCCTTTAGTGGTTTGCTCTATTGGACTGTCTATTGGACTGCTTGTGTTCTGAAATATTGGGGAGATGATGCTGGAGTACGTGATTCCCAGTTAATCGTGCTTCCTTATCCAGGGAAGCACGCTCCTGCTCTGTAAATTGAATGCATTCAGTCCTGGCTCTGATATTATCGACGCCCCGCGCGGTTTTTCTTCGGCTGATAATGGAATTGAGCTGATCGCCGGGCCCGTGCGGTGTTTTCCAGACGGAAATGCATGCGTCACTCAATACCAGGATGGAGTCGCTCGAAAAGGAAATGAGGGAGCGCGACCGAATACTGCAGGAGCTGTACTCGCAGCAGCAGTGTCAGGTGAGAGAGCCAGGCCACATAATGAGATTGGCCATTCAAATAGCTATAGCTATTGTCGGAACGACTGTGAAGAGAGTGATAATGTATCAAATTGACAACAAAATAAATATATTTTTACGCTTCTATTCCTGCGAGAAGTAGAGCTGATCCACCGCTGATCTGACGTACCGATCCAGTTTTTTAAGCTTTTACGGTTGGACACATTAATGTCTTTATTTTGCGAAGAAATCTGCTTGTTTCCTCTGCTGCGTCTACGTAAGCTGCTGGGTACGTTTTTATTCTGGATAAATAAGCAAGTAAGATCTACTAAGGTCTCGTGAGCATTTCGTGTCGTTCGAGCCAGATAGAGCACACCTACCGAACCCCTCATTTATTCTCATAAATAACTACGTTAGGATGCCATATGACATTTGCATTATGCAATTATGCATCACACGGTGAATGTGACATGTCATACTACCTTGACCTATGCGGGTGACATTGAGCTGACTTTCAGAATCCGTTGGGAGGAAAGGTAGAGGTACGAGAAGCTAGCCAGCGAAACATCTGCGAAATATAATTTATGTTTTCCCAAGCGTAGCTGTGCTGTAAATATAAGGCAGCTTCGTAATGATTCTTTGCTTGTACATTTTGCCTGCAGTAGAATGAGAGCTTTGTAACTCAGGCTTTGAGGGGTAGGGGCTTGAACTGCATCCTTTCATGTAGTGGCTAGCTCCTAAAGCCCGTATCACACGGTCTGTCGATATCGGTTTGAAAGTCAACACACTTTAAGTTTCAACTAGCTAAAGTCTAAATAAATCAGTTCGAAAGAAGGTGTTTTGGCACAGTGATGTACAGCTATGAAGAAATTTGTGGATTAGTTGAGCGGTTCCTGATGAAAATATTTTTTTCTAGCGTGCGAAATCACACATTTACTACACTTCAACCAGGCTGTCGGGCTTGACAGAAGTGGAACCGTTTTTCAGGAGCTAGTGGAGGACTCAGACGGTAGCTCGTCTCCGCCGGACAGCGCCAATGACCTGACCTGCTTATCGGTAAGCACCCTAATGACCTGCCCTGCCTGCTGTTAGATGAGTACCCCATTTACCCAACCTGCGTATCGGTAAATAAATAACTCCCGCGGCCGTCACTTGACCTGCTCGTCGATGGGCACCCTATGACCCTAGTGAGCAGACTTGCTTATCGGTGAGCATTCTGGCGACCTAACCTACTTAGTGCTGAAGTAAGTCCCCGGCTTTTTGATTACTGCGTATCAATAAGTCTCCCGACCTGACCTGCATATCAAAGTTTCAACGCAAACGTCCACACAGCGAAATTAGGTCGCTGTCGGGCACTTATTTTCTTTGACGTAAGCCCACGTAATATGATCTGGGACTGGGTGATGTGACTTTCGGTAAGTTAGCTTTCAGTGACCTGGGTCATTTTTGCAATGTTTGTGGAAAAGATGGTGACAAAGAAAGATAATGGCGATGCCGCCCCGCGCAGTGTTTTTAGAATTCGCAAAAAGTGAAGGGCCGTAAAAACAGACTGATCACTGAAAAACAGAAGACAGAGGACTGCTGACCGTCGGAAGCGCCCCCTGTTGTGGGTCCTCAGGCTGACAGCTGAGATGTGGGTGTCCAGCTGACAGGGTCTTCTGACCTCGGCAGGAGAGTGTCAGTCAGGACCGGCTATGGACGCTCGAGTTCGGTCACCGCCGACCCGAGCACACGGTGGTGGACGTCGGTCCCGCCTCCTCGGACCCCGCGCCCGCCGCCGCCGAGCCGGCCGACCGCGCACCCGCCGAGCCCGACGAATGGGAGGTGAGCTAAGAAACTAGTCGGGGAGATGGGCTGAACACTGGGCCTGATGAGTGGGAAATAAGTCGAACGTTGGGCTCAGGTATAACGAGCGAGGAGCGAGCTGAATATCTGGTCAGCCAGCAATCTGGAATCCGACGGATGGGAGGCTGGCAGGCTGACTTATCAACGAGCCTGATGAGATGAGGTCGTTTATTTGATGTCCTACTTTCCAGTACTTGAATAATAAGAGATGGATTATGCGTTTCTGTAAATAGGGAACTAACCGAAACAGAAACCGTGCTGTGTAAGTAGCCTGTACCCAACCACCAGCCAACGCCGCCTTCTCAGTCGCTGCTGCCCTCTGCTGCCGCTCGTGTGCGCCATCTGTCCAACAGGGCAGCAACCAAGCCACCCTATCGCGACCACTGGGCCCGACAGCCTGGGACGTGACGTTTGAATGGTTAGAGTGAGCCTCAATAGTGAGCTTGACGGTTGTAGCACTTGCTCAAATCAATGGCAGATTGTAAAGTCGCCGAAAAGCTACGGGAATAACTCTGGTGCTTATTTCTTGTTGTAATCAATCATCAATCATTTGTTGATATCATTTTGCGGTTGTGCGGACAGAGTGGATGCCGCGGGTGCTGACCATGGCTTGGTCTGACATTGGATGTCATCCTTTATAGTTTATTTGTTTGTTTGCTTTGTAAAGAACACGTATTTTGGTCCGAAAAGGTCATTGCAGAGCTTTGTGGTGATGAAGTAGAGTGAAGAGTGGAGACATTCCACTGAGCGGACCACTTACAATGGTGCACCGCAGTGACAGGGAGCGGGACGAGTGTCTCTTTGAGAGAGTCCGCCCTACCATTTAAACGGTGCATTCACCACCGGCTGTCTGGGGGGGGGGGGGAGGGAATTGTCAACGACGAGGTAGTGTGAGGATGCGGATGGGTCAGTCCAGACTCGAGGAAAATGACAAATTATCTTCCATTGGTTTGCTATTTTTGAAGCGTTCGATTTATATAGCAGCCAGCAGGTACTTCTTGCGCCAATAGCAGACTCAAATTTCGAAGTCGATTTATTAAGTTTCAATTGACCTTTAAAAATACCAGGCAGAAGGATCCATATCACCTTTTATGTACCTCATTATGATAGAATATTATGTAATTTATATTGACGAAGTGTCATTTTTATAATTTTCCTTAGATAAATGATAATGATTTTTTCGTTTTGGTTTCGGGCTTAACTGAGGCAAAGAAAAACTTTTAAAAAGTAAATACTAAATAGTGCCATTGATAGCACGAACTGGTTTCGCATGTCGTCACTTTTTGTACCTACCGTCTTTTCGTATTTTGACATTTCAAACCAGTGAACAAGACAACTCAATAATGCCGAAATATTTCATTTTTTGTGCGCTTTTTATAATTTATATTAATACTAATAATAAAAAATCCACTACCTTCTACGAATGCCCAACAGGACCTCTACTAGTTAACTTGATCTGACCTGACCCGACCTGGCCTAAATGCATGACGACATCATCAGTGATAAAACTAACATGATTTCGTGATCAGCACCCCGCAAAACTCCTTGGTAGCCACACTTTACGACGTTCTAACAGGTCCCAATTTTCCCGACCCTTGGGTCATTGACCTGACGTGGAAGGTTAACCAAGGACCTAGGACCTTAAAATTGGGTATCATCGGCTCCTTCTCGTCACGGGCAACACGCTCGTTTTTTCTGCGAAGCTCTACCTCGATCAGGGGCCAAACGGCAAGGGGGAATCCAACGGACCCCGCCCCTTATACGTTCGCGGAGCGGCAAAACACCTATACCTACGGGCGAGGGAAACACAGCAGTACGGCTTTTGGGCCGATCGGGGCCACCTGTCTCTATCCTCCGGTCCCCAGGTGCAGCTGCCGGTGGCGGGACTGACTGTATCCAGCCGTCCCCACCAGGTGCAGATGCTGGTGGGCGGTGGCGGAACTGACTGTATAATATCGTGCAGTCCCCACCAGGTGCAGATGTTTGTGCCTGTCATTGAATGTATCCGGCGCTCCCCACCAGGTGCAGATGCTGGTGGCCGAGATGGCTCGCTCGGAGCGGCGGCAGCGGCGCAGTCTGGTGCCGGAGCTGACCGTCTCGGAGCTGGAGCTGCTGGCGCGGCTCGAGGGCGGCCAGCAGCCGGCGCGCGCCGCCGCCGTCGGACGGATGGCCAGCGTGGACGGCGGCGGCCACTCGGAGCCGGGCGGCCGGCCGGCGCGGCCCCAGCTCGGCCGCATCGCCAGTCTGCGCGAGCGCTCGCGGCAGCGCGCCACGCCGCCGCCGGGCCGCCGCGACCCGGCCGCGGCCGTCGACCCAGGCGGCGGCTCGCCCAGGGAGCGGCGCCGGCGGCCCGGGCGCGCGCAGTCGGACGCCGCGCCGCTGTAGACGGACCGGACGGGCGGCAGCCACCAGTGCTGCCTCGGTCCGGCTGAAGCAAACATTTGTGTTGAGAGTTGGCTGTTCCGTCCTATTTTTGTCAGTAGGTGTGCGAGTTTTCACACTGTGTGCTAGGATGCAGCAATTTGTCGATGTCATTCACAAGGTCATATTCGTTGGAGAGATGAGACGAATGCAAACACTGTCAACATATCCTCTGTAGCACTCACTGTCTTCTCTTTATAGTCACTAACTTCGCTAGCTTCACTAGCTTAAGTCACAGTGTTGAAGTCACCAACTTCAACACAGCATCTACAGGGTGTTTCACTAAAAATGTCAAAAAGTAAATGCCTATTAAAGTTATATAAAATGTGCAAATCACGTGGTTGCGCACGTGGCTTTGTTGCAAATTTTTGGACATTTATGCTTTGTCCATTTAAGATATATTTTACACTCATACGGAGCGAGGGCAGGAGGCCAAAGTTACTAGTCGTTTTTTTCCTTATGCAGAACAAGAACAGGTTATTTACACCGCAACAGGAGGGGTGAATTACCCTTACCTTTGGTGCCATCAGAAACATTGAAACCGTATGCCGACTTTTCAGGAAACGTTTATTCTCTCACCTCGCTACGTTCCAGATTATAAAAGGTTCAAAGGGCTTCTTGAGAGGTTTAAAAGGGTTCCTTCGATGCCGGTCCCAGTCCAAAAAAGACGGGGTCCCCCACCTCTCGGCGGAAACCGTTACAAAGGTCGGGGTCTTTTTGAGGGTCTTTGAAGATAACAAGAAGCTAATTTCAACATCAGAAATAGCCAAGGCCTTACACGTTATCAAAAACAGCCACTATAATGGCTGTAACCACCAGGAACTGGCTTGATTAGAAGTTCCTGCGCCGAAAAATCAGCTGCCTCGCCGCCCGCCTCTGGCCAGCGCAAAGCCCCGATCTGTCACCGCTTTACTTCTGGTTTTGGTCAGTAGCTCTCGCAGATCTGAGGAAGACTCAAGTCGCATCTCTACGGGAGCTGAAGAGCACCATTCAAGGCTTTGCCGACAGTCTGGACGCTGAAGATGAAAACGGGCTGTGAGGCACCTCCGGACACGTGCCGAAACGGTGCATCAAAAGTAGGGGCGGATATGTGAAATAGGTTTGAGTGACGGTGCTATCGTTTTTATATATTCAAATGTCCAGCAATTGCGGATGAAATGGTATGCAAATTTCCGTAGAAAACATTGTTATTATGTGCATTATGACCTTTTACTTTTTGACACTTTTAGTGAAACACCCTGTATATACATAATATCCATCTTTCTAGATTGAGCTGGATCCACAGCAGCAGAGGAACTTCTGGATCTATGCGGTAGACAGAGAACCTATCAGACAGCTACAATAGGCAATATCTTTCGACAGATGGAGCAAACCTCCTCCTCTTGACTGGTAGCGGTGGACAGATTCTATCGGACAGCTACAGTAGACAGAACCTCTTACCGGTAGCGGTAGACAGAACCTATCGGACTGCAAGCAGTAGGTACAGCCCTCTGCAGACTGCGTGGTAGGTATTCTTTTTTCGACAAAACCGAGAATAACGCGAATACTATGCTATCGGTCACCCGGAAATCGTAGCAGCAAGATGCGCGAGACTCCGCAGCTTAGATTGGCATTATCACCGTATGCATTTTCCATCCAGTTTGGCAACAAAACCCAAAAGTTTATATTTGCCCCCAAAACGAACTTTTACATTTTGTTGCCACACAAGGCGTATGCTTTGTTTATTGATAGGCCCTATCGAAGGAGTGGAGCATGGCGCATCTATTTGCAGTGAGTTTCGACCGACTGATAACATGACTTTTGAATTATTATCAGTTTTGTCGGAAAAAGAATACCTACCACGCAGTCTGCTGAGGGCTGTACATAGACAGACAGAACCTTTGACAGGACTATCTGTAAGAATCTTGGACAGGACCAGGACCTCTGCAGGCCGCGGGAGTGCGCTTTCTCTGGGTAGCTCGGGTGTGTGGGCGCCTTCCTAAGCTGGGTGGCGACTGGGGTGTGCCTCTGATAGGAAGGCTGTTCATTCAGCAGTCAGACATGGTAACGGTGCTCACTGGCGGAATGAGACGCGAAATTGGAGAAAGTGGGACGGAATAATGAACGGAGCTTGGCGGGACGTCCCAATCGGTTGACACTTGAGCCGCTCGAGACACTCGAAGGTTATGTTACGCTTCAGTTATTGAGCCAAAAGCTGTGAACAATCTCGGTAAATTTATCTGTAGACAGGTAGGTACTGTTATGATAAAAGGCGAACACCTAACGTTCATATTTCTGAAGTAAACATCCTAATCAAATTTAATACCTCACAGCTAAAGCCCGATTAGGGTATCCCTAAAACGCACAAATAATTTAGCCGTGGGTGCAAACTTGTGCAATGGCCAGTGCCCCCCTCCCCCTCCCCGATGCAGTGTGGTAAAAGACCGTGGTAAAACTACATGTACACGTATGTCCTCAATAAGATAACTTGATCTCACCATAATTGTGATTGCCGGCATCTCTCCATGACCTTCTCAACACCTGACACTTCAAACTCCATGTCATAAGCTGCATAAACTACAATGAGGAGTGAAGCGCAGAGCGTTGCTGTAGAGCAGAGTTGTAACTCTGACCGACTGAGGTGTCGTTACGTAATCGTACCGTCCAGACCGGAGTACGACGCGTCCTGCCGACAGCCGTCCAGGCACGTTTACGGGCATTCCGCCGTCCAGGGCAGGTGGCTATCGCAGTTTAGCCGCACGATCTGTGGTAATAACCGGGAAGTCTGCCGTGTAAAGCAACATGGATCTCATGACTGGGCATTGACAGTGCTAAGCGCGTGTATAGAGTGACCATGGAGGTGTAATTATCGTATGCTTCATCAATGGTAAAGTGCTAGAGAAAATGTGTAGAATAGTCCATCACAAACTTGGCTAGTAGGCGGTTCCACTTTGTTGTATTTAGATTGCAGCGAGGCATGCATACATTTTACACAGCTAAGAATTATCGCCGCCTTAATAGTGAAATGATGCATCACGAGTAACTGAAATATAGATCAAATATATGTATGAATGGAACGGTTTTTATGGTTGGAAGTAGTGGCAGGTCCGCAGTTTCTAAAATTCCTGACTGAAAAGGAACGTTTTTGCAAGCAAACTGAAGCATCACTGGCAGTTATGGGCACGTGTGAGGTCGAGATCGACGACGGGCGGACGCCGCACGGATTCGCCACGGCTCCGGTCACGGCTCCGGTCACGACTCCGGTCACGGCTGCGGTTACGGCTCCCGTCACGAACACGTCACGACTCCGGTCACGGCTCCGGGACGGCGTCCTCCTCCTCGTCGTCCGGGTCGCCGCCGGGCTCCGGCGCCGCCTCGGCGTGCATCGGAATCAGCTCGCCGCCGACGTCGGCGTGCTCGGCGTCCAGCTTGGCCTTGCGCAGGTACCAGAGGTAGACGGCGCCGCCCGCGCAGCCGGCCAGCATGATGCTGCCCACGATGATCATGGGTCGGGTGCCGGCCGAGCCGGTCATGGCGCCCGTGGTCGGCGGAGACGCCTTCACCTGCAGGAACGGCGAGCCCGTCGAGCCGGTCTCGGCCGTGAAGCCGAATTTCTCTCGGATGGTGGTCGACGGAGGGTAGATGGTCGACGGCAGGCTGTTGTCGCCAGTGTCGCCCGTCCGGTTCGCATACTCGGTTTCGTTCAGACCCACGGACTGGTCCGTCTCTCGCGCCACACGAACCAAGCTGAAAAGCCGGATATTGAGTCCATGAATAGGTAGGTGAATGACCTCAGTTGATCCCGAGCGACTGGTTACGTTGAAATGTCGCAGAAACTCCGATAAAAGCTACACCGATGAATTTTAAAGTTGATTGCAGACTGTAGTAAATGTTAGAAGCCGCAGAATTAAATGCATACATAGGTATGCACTGATAAGTTCCTAGATAGGCATACGCATTTAGATGTTCACATTCGACAATTGCGATTCTATTTAGGATGATAGCTGTTTTCACTTAGCCCTATTAAAAGTTCCCTCCTTATGCATGCTGTGGCGGCCGAAAGCATATTTACGACCATCATCTAACACATATCTTTAACGATGTTATATGGAGTTGATTCTGATAAGTTTAGCCACGGCCAAATCCCCGGCGAAGGGCGCTTACCTTCCGTCTTCATGCGGACTGCACAAAACATGTGACGCTTCATGTAACATTAGGGCCGGTACGAAAGCGAGTATCCATATCTTCATCGGCATCAATGAAAACATATTAGAAATATTGTTTACATATTCATGGGATAAAGTGTACCTTGTTAGCTACTGTTAATTTCTCAAAGAAGCAGAAATGATATGAGTAGAAACAAAAAGTAATTGAGGAAACAATAATTAAAAGCTTTTAAGAATCAAAAGAACGCCTTTTTAAGATGACCTTTTTCCGAAAAGTTGTTCCAAGCACACGCCGTATTTTCTAAAGCACTTCATACAAAAATATGTTAGGATCAGGTTGGGTCAAATCGACGTTTTTTGCTCGTGTACATCGCAATGGAAAGTAATTGGACCGGCTTATCTAATATGGTATCAACCGACTATAGCATAGACTTTACACAGAACTGTTCCTTGTGTTTTACAATAATATTTTTCTAACAAGTATCGATCTATGATTTTATTGCAACCTTCAAAATGACTAAGTCATGGTAAATATGAACAATTGCCCTGTCCTCCATCTGATTTCTCTTTTATAGCCCTTTCCGCAACGTATCGTCAAATTCGGCCATAGGTCAACAGTGTTGTAGCCGTAGCGCGGGTAGCGGCCCCTTTACATATATCTACAACAGTTTGACCTCCAAAGGGTTTTCCCTTTTCACAATTACAAGTTTTCAGCGCCTAAGCTGCAAGAGCTACCCATGCTTCGATAAGTTTAACACAACACTTGCATTGCACCGTTTTTACCATTGTTGTGCTTCTGTTGCCAACATGCGTCGAATGATACCTATAGTAAGTCTTAATTGACCTCATAAGACAAAGTTAAAAAAGACATGCCTAAAACATTAGCTACTTCAAGCTGATACGTGTCGCAACGACCAGAACCTATATTTTGCGCTTTGTGTTCCTAACTTCACCTATCAAGAATCGCTGCTGAGTGTTTCCATAGCCATTTGTGCCTGCACTTTGCTTTTAAAGCCACTTGCTTCCGTCAGAATGATAGGAATAGGTGTAGAAAACATGTACGAAAGAAAACATCAGTATATTATTCACGTCACTTAGCTGATGCGTCATAATATAGCTGACTGTTCGGTGTCCATTTCGATTAACCTGCAGCTAGAGCTGAGAAGCTGAGCCGTTCACGGTTCACAGAACAGTAGTACATAAATTTACATTGCAGCTATCGATATATAACATTTCAGGCATCCATATTCCACAGCACAGTCGGCAGAGCGGCGCCTCACTCCACCGTTCGCAGTGTCGGGGTCACCCCCACAGGAGAGCTCCGGAGCTCCCTTCCTCTGGCCACACCTCTTCACCTTTTGACACGCACATAGGTCCTTCGTTCGACAACTCTCCATAGCGTATAACTACATAGGCGACACGGCGACACGGCGCCGAGTTTGAGCACGTACAGAGCGCGCCGGCGGCGGCAGCGGGCCGGCAGAGCCCCAGCCGGCAGCACCGTTAAAAATGTCGCTTGGCTCGGCGGCCGGCGGCGCGCCGGTCCAATCCGGGTCAGCGCGATCCGGGTCAGCCGGCCCGGCGGCCGCGGGCGGGCGGGCCGGCGCTGACCGGTCCGCGCCGCGCCGAGCCGCTCTCTCACACACATACACACACGCCACGCACCCGTTCTCAATGTAGGACCCTGGCTGGGCGGCGGCGGCGCGCCGGTCGCTCGGCCAGCCGGACGGCGGGACGGCCCGTCGCTCGGCCGGTCGCTCGGCCGCGGCCAGTCGGCCGGACTGCCCGTCGCTCGGCCGGTCGCTCGGCTAACGGTGCGTCGGCCGGCGGCGGCTTCTTGACCCGACGTCGCTCAGCCTCTCGCCGGCCCGTGGAACCTGCCGCCAGAGAGCTCCCGTCAGACGAGAACATCCGCCACCCGACCCATATCGTTGGCATACAGAAAAATGCATAACAAACTCGGCCGGTGAAAATTTTTCAAGACCTCAGTCCTTCCTGATTTTGCACTCGGCCCTCACCTTCGTTAAAAAAAAAAAAAACATGTAAGGACCTCGGTCTTGAAAATATATTTACACCAGCCTCGTTCAGTACGATCATTACTCCACTGAGACCATTCAGGGCAGTGAGCTGAGAGGGACGTTGGGTTGATGCGCGAGTCCATCGGTCGGCTAGTGCGTTACAACGTCTGAACAGGAGTTCGACAGAGAAACAGGCCACCCAGTCGCTCAAACGGTACGGGGGACCGGACAAATAAGTGTCAACACTTCTACCCGGTTATCTGATAGGGTGACCTGTCACGCAAGAAGAGAGAATGTGAGCAAGGATGACGGTGATGAGGGTCCTGAGGATAATAAGGACGGATATCTCGTCAAAAAAGATTCAATTATTGAAGCAAATTTTAAGCGCAAAAGGAGAACGGTTTTCCATTTACAAAAAAAAACTTGATTAGTTTTCCACAAGCTCGATTACCTTCAATTTTAGGGGTGCATATTCCATGCATTGCATTCATAGTTTTGCTCATCCCTGGGCTACGAAGCAGCCAAGGTCACATGTATTTATATGCACTGTGGTCACATAAAGGCCAAAGAGCTGTTATATTTTCATCCTCCCTTCCATCGTTTCCATCCTCAGGATAGTTAAATCCCTCTCCTCTTTGCCTACATTTCTGTTCCGGACTGGACGGGCACTTTATCCCATGGATAGTTCCACCTCAAGGACAGGCCCGAAGCCGGGTACGGTGACTGTTAGGGGGCTCGGTGGCCTGTCGTCGTGATGGGCTCAGTCCCGACGGGTCACTGCAGGGTGCCCACCTAGGCCAATGTCTCCCCCTAATTCCGAGCATCCTTCCGGCTCTGCAATGGTCTCTTTAGAGTTAGACCGAAAGAGCCTAACCCAGCAAAACAATTTTTTCACAAAAAAATTGGAACCTGAATTTCTGGAATTCTGAAATTCTGGTAATTCTGATTAACGTTTGATTATTTGGTTACCTGAAAGATTATTAATTTTTTCATTCAAGGTCACATGTTCACGAATAGTTCTCTGTTCACGGACAGTTCGTGAACGTTCATGAACGCTCATGAACAACTCATCATTTCTGATATCTTCCTCTGATATCTTATATCTTTTCGGACACAAGCCGTTTTACAAGCCGTTTTACTGGCTTATATCGTCTCCAGGTACCTACACCACTATCCGCAAGCCATGTGGGACATCCCCGTTACGCGTTTGTCGTTTCAAATATTAGGTACATACCGGAGACTCAAAACCAGTTCAGATTGCGTTGCTCGAGCCCTTTTTCGATGCTCTACAAAACTACAAGGCGGATGTCCAAGAACTCGTTGATCCTCGTTATCCTGGGACATCGGGAAGTCATAGACGTCGACAGCTGATTATTACTACGTCACTATCCTAACTTTTCTAGCCCTTCATCGTGATCAAATATCAGCCGGTTTGCCAGTTGGGCTACGGACCGTCACTCCATGGATGACGTATGTATTTACCGTTCTGTGTGGAGGCGTGCTCCGATATTACAGTAAGACGGTCTCCGAGCATACCGATACGTGGCACATGAGTGCAACAGTAAAAAGATGATAGCATAAGGAGAGAAAGCAAAGCATATCTTGTTAAAGAAGACATTGGCAGCTACCTATGCTGCTAAATCGCATATACTTGGCACTAAACCCTCGCATTGATGGGGGTATGGAACGGATCCCTCGTTTTTTTTTTTGCTATTTTACTAATAACCTGGAATGTCAATCAGCGACCTTGACGTTGAGTTTCATCGGGGTTCTCTCATCGCGAGTAACAAGATCGTTTTTGCTCAAAGTTCTAACTCGATTAGGGGTCGGACGGGCGGGGGTAGGGTCCGATCGATCCCCCCCCCCCCAACATTAGCGGCTGGGAAAACGCCAATACGGGCAGCTACGATAAGCACCTGCGCTGAATCCTTCTGGAAAGCATCAATATATGTTTTCCCGTGAACTGAGGTTACACAATAAGCACATATTCAGGCACACAAACGTATCTCAAAGGATTGACCCGCACATCGCTGAAGGTAAGGAGAAGTCGCAGGCACCGTTCAAAAGCTCGCCACATATGAATCATAATTGTGAAAAGAACAAGGTTGAGGTCATCAATGTCAATTAACCATAACTTTTTTGTCTAATGAATGTCATGACGGTGTAACATTTGAATTCGATTATATAATAAGCCCATATACCGCACCTAGCCTCTGATGACGTTACATGACCTGAAATGCAGCTCGAAATGATCGCAAGAGCTTATTATATGGATTGCGTAAAAGGAAACCAAATATATACAAATCACATTTTGTAAGAAGCTGACCCAGCCTCGTCAATTTTAAAGATTTAATTCTCTTCTCGAAATTCATTAAATCTTCCTGTCTTGTATTGAAATTTGACATTAAGATTTAATGAATAAAATAAATCAATATCAACATTTTTTTGCAAGCATTACGATTTGACATTGCCTGGTTGACATTGACAAAGTTTACCCAGACAATTCCTTCGCATTTTTTAGTTTTAAGTCCGATACTGATAAAGATTTACATGTTTGTAGCTAAAAGCATGGCAAACACGAAAAACATACAATTTATCACTCAGGATGTAAAACAGCTTTGGGAAAACGTTTTGCATAAATAAGATATTTTGGGTACATCTCACTGTCTCTTCTTTCACTGTGTGTGTCTTCTTTCGTCTGCGCTTCAAAACCGGGACTCGATGATCATTTGGACTGATTATGATATGGTTTATATTTCAAAAGTACTTAAAACCAAAAATAAAGGACTGGAAAGATTCCTGTAGAGCAGAACTGAGTCACACGCTACTCAAAAAAATGTCCTTGCTACCCGCCTCAGGGCCCCAGTCCATATTTCTCCACGTAAGAACTTTAAAAAAGAACTGCGTCTATTGCTCTCTGCCCCGTGGGACTTGATGGGTGAAGGGTAATCGCCAAAATGGATGGTCATCCGCGGCGATTTGTTTGCGCGTGCTGGCATTGGTGCAGTGGATCGATAATCGGGTCTTCAAAGGGACATGGCTTGCCTCCTCCCCGTCACATGAGGACGATATTGGCCCTCGTAAGTACAAAACTCGCGCCAGCACTGAAAAGCGCGAGTTCAAATATGATTTAAGCATAAGTAACAACTAATGGCAAAGCACCAGGATATCATGCATCTACCCATGCGGATGTGGCGCACGGGCTCTTATTTGGAGCAGCTGCTCTGGCAAGAATCGACTGCAGGTGGGAACTATATTAGTCGTCATTAGCTTGTCTCTGTCACGCGGAGTTGACTGGTGTGTCATTCGGGTATGTCAGATGACCATTACAGGAGTTATGGATGTTCAGTTGAGTAAATTTTTGTTGGGACGCATGGTATAAAGCAGCGCAGAAACTTTGAAAAAAAAATCGTGATAAGGCGTGCTGAAAACGTAGGCGCTGCCCAAGGGCGCTGCCCAGGGTCATATTCTTGCCACTCATGGTAAATCAGCGGGAGGTTCATGACCGCCAGAACAGGTCATCGGTTAAATGAACAATGTTTTATGCAAATTACTTAGCCTTCAGCGCGATAACGCAATTGGCAGCATAATCTTCCATTGCATCATTGAAATAATTTCAATGATTGCCGAGATGGAGCATGTCAGATAGTGGGAAATATTTACGTTTCATGTACCTAATTCAGTTTATGTAATTTACACATGCAATAAACATTATAATCAGTTCATCATAGTCCCCCATATCAATCATGCATGTTTCGTAGCATCTGAACACACCATTTTTACATAAAATTATCCCGAATGTCGGAATAAACGGATTGACAGAGCTTGAGCTCACGCTAAGTAGAGCTTGTTGCCTAGAACTCGACCGCTCCCGTCCGATCGCGCATTTCCGGGTGACTGGAGAATTAACCCGCGCGGGGCTGGGGGGGGGGTAAATTTTACCCCCCCCCCCTCGCGAATTTTTGCGATATCTCAAAAACGGCGGCGCGCAGCGCCGCCAAACTTTCAGTACCTTTTCTTACATCAATTTGACACGTTCCCTGAAAATTTGAGCGAAATCCGTCGGCAATTTTTTGAGAAATTGACGTTTTAGTGACGTCATGTTCGTCATTTTCGCCTCAAAAACGGCAAAAGTTCAAACGCCGCTAACATCTTCATTTTTAAAGAAATCAAGACGTAACAAAAAAAAGTTATACGTAATTTTACTTTGTCTATCAAATGGCTATCTCGGTTTTTTGAAAATTTTGGATTTTGGCCTAATTTTTTTCAAAAAACTGACTTTTTTGGGAAAATCATTATAAAATCCAAAATTTTGAGTCTATCGAAAAAACCGGAATATATGTCAGAGAAGTGGTCTATGTGCACCTACATACCAAATTTTAGAAGAATCGGTTCAAAAATGTGGGAGTTATTCAAAATTTTATGACGTCACGACACACAAAATTTTTGAAAAATGACTTTTTTGGAAGTTCTAGACCTCGTACGGAAACAAAAATAGCACCATTCGATTCGCCGTGAAAAACTGCATCGGATAGACACCTTTTTAGGCCTTAACAACCAACTTCAAAATTTGACCTCACTTGACCTGACCTTGACCTGACCTCGACCTGAAATTCATCCAGAGGTGGTCCATATCACTTATTGAGTGTGCCTATTGAATTCTATGAGTAAAATGACCCATAAAACATGTGTCGCACATGCCCTTTTCTATATTTTGTTTTTTGGTGACCTGACCTGACCTGACCTGACCTTGACCTTGACCTCTGAATGATATTGTATGCAACGAATATTGTCTTGGTAGCCTAAGAACACGTTTTGGGCGATCAGTCTCAGTCCATGACTCCATTCTTCGGCAACTACGGTGCAAGGCCGATACTGTAGAAACTTGCAATTTGTACCCTTGACCTGACCTTGACCTTGACCTCAAACTTTAAATTAAGTACATGTTTTTAGTAGTTCGTGATGAGATCTTTCGATTGGCGTTTGAATTTTCCAAATCGGACCGTTAGTTCGGGAGATAACAGGGGGGGGGGGGTAAAATTTACCCCCCCCCCCAGCCCCGCGCGTTCGGCTGGAGACCCCAGCCCCGCGCGGGTTAAGATGCCAAAGTTTAGCGGGCCCATCAAAGCCGGACACGGCCTGTCCCACTCAACTGTCCTCAACTAACTGCTCCTGCTCCCACCAACCGCAGACCATCCCCGTCGTAGCCTCAAATATCGAGCACCGGAGCGACTCGAACCCGGGCTTACCACCGGGAGTCCAACACTACCAACTGAGCTACGAGACAATTGGCAGCCGATATTTCAGTCTCACAGCAGTAACTGGGCGGCGAGATAATTTTGCATGGTGCTGCTGACTACTGAGTTTACATGGGAAATAGTACAGCTTAACAATAAATGGGAAAAAACTTGCAACGTTTTGTTATGATTACTTCTTTGCATGATTTCACATAAAAGAATGACATAACAGTTCAGCATCTTATTTGATAGTAAAGGGAAAGCGTAACAAATTGTGTTATTTATTACGCTATAATGTAACCACAAGCGAGGCAGCACTTCATAATTTTGTCACTATAAGTTCAGTCCCTAATGTGTTATAAAGTTAGCTAAAATGTTTGAATGTACTTGTGGGTGGATTGAGAGAACCGGAGCCCACACTAAGCAGAGCTTATTGCGTAGCAAATTATGCCACCATTTGTCCAAAAAGACTTCAGCTTTCACTTTCTCAACAAACAGTAAAAGCTGTGGCCTGCGGGTGTTTTATTGAAGATGGCAGGTAGGGTAGCCTGGGGCAAGACGCCCCAGATAATTTATTTTGCTACATAACTTTTGTCCCACATAACCTGGAAGGCCAAATTTGCGCTCAATGCGTTCTTTGGACATTTTACTTTAAATTCCACCCCTCAAATTCATTCACTTATGGATCGGACTCCCAGCTAGGAAGTGGTTTGTGAAGCAACTGCAAATAGGGCGTTTTGCCCCAACCCCAGGGCAAAACGCCCCACGGCCTGGGGCAAGAAGCCACATACTCTAGATTAAAGATTAAACATGCTAGTTGACTAAATCTTATCTGAAAGGTCCGTTAGACCTTGGGAGGCATGGCACTGAAGTTAGCACCTTCCATCCTATCAGGTGTTCAGCTACGACACTATTGTATGAGCAGGTTTTTCACCTGCCTCATAAGGCCAAATAATAAATCATTGCAATGCAAATGTTAACAAAATACTTCCTTTGCCATCCAGTTGCTGAGAAAAGTACATATAAATGCATAGAAACATACCGTTCGCCAGCTACCGAACATTAGGAAGTGGGTAGTCCGAACAACACATGAGGTAAAACGCCCCATGGGGCTTTTTGCCCCGGGACCTACTGGGGCGTTTTACCCCATCACGTAGTTCGGTCAGAGAACAACGCCTTGCACCCCAGGAAGACATAATTTAACACGAACCAACCCGGCATTATAAGCGTTAGACAATAGTTGTTCAAAATACATAAAAGTCGTTAACTTGATGTGGACGATAAAAGAACGCCATGACGCATAATCTGACAACAAAACATAAAAATCACTCCAAAAACACATTTTTGGCTATATCTCCCTAAAGAGTCACCACAATTTATTTCCAGTCTGCTCATATAATGATCGTATAGTGCACGTTTTATAGAAGAGAGGATGTTTCCCCAGAACCTTGCCAGTTCCGAGAAACATCGGTGAGGCGTTTTACCTCGGCGGGGCGACTTGCCCCGGTCTACCCTATTATGTGATACAAATCATCTCATGACTCCCGCTGTTTCATAAAGACCGGCTTACTGCCAAACCGCTCCCGTAGTGTGAGCAGCTTTGGAAAACTGCGCTCATGCCATAAGCAAAGTTACGGCGTCATCGGTACTCGAACATATAGGTCAGTCAGCTCGCGTGTCTAACTGCTCCCGGGCTCAGAGCGCGCCTGATTCACAGTCACGGACAATGAAGGAATAACGGACGCGCTAGTAGGAATGCCGGAAAAGCGGGCATAGGCATGGAGGAAAACGGAGCCACCGGTGCCACTGGAACTGAACTCACTACTGATAGCAGCATTAGTCAGGTGAAACATGACATTACCGGATTAATGAGCCAGTAAACACCTGTTAGGGTAATAAGTCGGAACGGTCGCATTACCTTATCCCATTAATGTGAACGAAAGTGAATTCTGATTGCACTACACTAGGTATATACTGCTGCAGTTTGTTGACAGCGTCCATGCATTGCTAATTCCAGTAATTGTTTTAGTCACGATGCATTTGATTTTTAATCGACGGCGGATTTCTTCCGTAAAATACAAATAGAATTGACTTAAAATCGACTATCGTTAGGTATGTATCTAACGATTTGACACGGCCTGATTTTTATGCATCACACAGAATGGCCCGATGAATGATGACCTTTTCAATTTGGGTATGAAAGGTATGATTGAACACTATTTTGAAAGAATGTCATATAGGTAATGTCTGTAACTATCGGCAACTTTTAGCGTATTAGTAGGTATGTTTGACAACAGACGGCATCATCGTCATCTTTCTCTCATCACCCTGCACCAAATAAAGTAACCACCATACGCCACCCCGCGCCCTGTGGACGCGGCTGTACGGCCGTCCGCGGGCGTCGGCCGGCCGCCCGGCCGCCCGACCTCCCACAGCTGACCACTAACTGTAACGGAGCGGACGGTGGACGGATTGGTCTGCGGACAGAGCCGTCCGGGGCGGGGAGGGGTACGGCCACCGCCCGCTGCCGTCACGGCGGCTGCTGGCAGACAGAGCCGGTCCCCGCCGCAGCTTTATCGACCATCTCCACCAGCCGGAGGACCAGAGGCGCGGCACGGACCGTCCGCGGGTCCCCGGGGACACAACATCGACATTCCACAGCGGCCGTGGAAGGCAGCAAGGGGCGACAGACGGGGATACGGGGATGATGAGCGGAATTTTTACCCGGTTGTATAGAATATGAAAGCAGTGGACTGCAGTGGAACTCTAGTGGTTTGATTAGCCTTGAGTGAGAGAAGCCATGCACGAAGTGACTGAGAAGGAAATCAAGCATACGGCGAACTGGCTCAAAATTAGCCGAATCAAAGAGCCACGGGCCGGACTGTTAATCCAGTCAGCATACCACTGTACAGCGACTGAGCGGCTGCGAGGCGGGACCAGTCACCCCTCCCCTCTCCCCTCCCCTCCGTCCACCCAACACCTGGCCGAGGCGGCGCTCGGCGGGCTGCTGGGAGACTGCGGTGGGGAACAGAACGGTACCACCAGCCACTGCCGGTCGCTCACAGTCAAGTGAAGGCGTTCGGCGCTGGACATGAACGGGACGGGGCGGATTGAATGGTACGGGTCGGACTCGGTGGACAATATGGAAATTGGACAGACTCTGTGCCTATGTAAGCATGGATTGCCAATTAATATCGTCCGTATGTTCAAGTTATCAAACCATGCTTTTTGCTTCTTGTCATGAGTAGGTATGTTATAATCAAGAGTCGTAAGTTTTTAATAGACAGCTCGGTTCAGACCATCAGTAACTATGACCCGGGTTCGCCGCACTTGGTATAGAACGGGAGCAGGTTGTTTTAACCTGATACAATAAAAACTGGCGCTGCAGGCCTGCGCCCTTCAGGCAGCCGTGCACTGAAAGACCGGCCCTGTCCACGGCCTAGCCCTGGCCAGGGCCGCCAGGGACTGGGTACCGAACTACGACCGTATGTCTTAGAAGCGGCGTACCTACGGACGAGTGTTTCTACAATAATAATATTCAGGGTTGCAATATGCTGCTAACAATATCAATAGCAAATCTATTGTCGGTGTATTGGAAGACAGCACAGAACGCAACTATGTAGGCATATTGATGTAAACACGGTTGTTTAGTGTGCATGAAAAGTCGAAAGACAGTGGCAGGCATGCTCTCTCTCTCTCTCTCTCTCTCTCTCTCTCTCTCTCTCTCTCTCTCTCTCTCTCTCTCTCTCTCTCTCTCTCTCTCTCTCTCTCTCTCTCTCTCTCTCTCTCTCTCTCTTTCTCTCTCTCTCTCTCTCTCTCTCTCTCTCTCTCTCTCTCTCTCTCTCTCTCTTTCTCTCTCACTCTCTCTCTCTCTCTCTCTTTCTATCTCTCTCTCTCTCTCTCTCTCTCTCTCTCTCTCTCTCTCTCTCTCTCTCTCTCTCTCTCTCTCTCTCTCTCTCTCTCTCACACACACACACACACACACCCTCCTTCCCTCCCTCCCTCATTCACACACATTCATGTCCCGTCATTCGCCCCCACGGTGCAATCATCCCACACAAATTGCCGGCACTGCGGCTGCAGCACATCGTTTGCGGCTCCGTACCTTCACAACCTCCTGAAGCCAGAGTGGTGCGAGTGGTGGCTGAGCTGCGAGACGGAGTCGGGGCCGCGGTACAGGCCCGGCCGCACCTCGGAGCGCTCCAGCTCGTCGGCGCTCAGGTCCAGCTCGTGCAGCATCTGCTGCATCTCGCGGCTCTTGCGCAGCTCCTCCCGCGAGTGCGGCCGGCCCTCGGCGCCGTCAGCGTTGGCAAGCGAGCCGTACGAGCGCGACCGGTGCTCCTGCTGGATGGAGAAGCCGAACGCCTTCTCGTTCAGGTGGTTGCGCCGCTTGTAGATGCCCGTGTTGGGCGGGGATTCCTCCTCTTTGCGGGACTTTTTGCGCGTCTTGCGCCGCCGGTCGACAGTGGCGTACTGCTGCTGCATCAGGTAGGCCTCGTGCGGGAAGTGGGCCGGCTGGTAGGAGGCCGTCGGACTGAGCGGCCGCGCCGACGGCAGGTAGACGGGCTCCTCGGCGGCGCGCGAGGCCGAGCGCCGCGGTCGGTACGGCAGTGTCATCACGGCCGGTCCGTAAGGGGTGGCCACCAGCGGCGCCATGTGCGGCGGCGGTGGCGGCGGCGGCGGCGCCGGCCCGTACACCAGTGTCGGGGGCCGGTACAGGTGGGCCGGCGGCGGCCGCGCGCGCGCCACCCTCTGCCGCGGGGACACGGCCGCGCCGGCCGGCCGCCGCTCCTGGCGAGAGGCCACCCTCTGCGGCGACCGGTGACCGTTCACCGGCGGCCCGTGCCCATTCAGCGGAGGGCCGTGCCCGTTCAGCGGAAGGCCGTGCCCATTCAGAGGCGGGCCGTGACCGTTTAGCGGAGGGCCGTGCCCGTTCGTCACAGGGCCGCCCATGGTGTGGCCGCTCGGTCCCTGACCATTCATCATGGCGGCACGGGACGGAGAGCCGGCCGAGCCACGCTCTCCCCGCGTCTTCTGCTTCCTGGCCTTTTTCTTGACTTCTGTCTCTGGCGGCGGCGTGGGCGGCGGCGGCGGCGGCGCCGCGGGCATCACCATCTGTCGCGGACGGGCGGCGCGCGAGCCGGTCGAGCCGTAAATGGAGGCGCCGCGGCCGGCCAGCTCGTACTCGTTGTAAATCACCTCGCGCTCACTGCGCGCCGGGCCGGCCCACACTTTGTGGTTCTTGTCGCCATTGTAGACTGAGAGCTCGTCTCCGGCCGCGGCGTCACCGCCGTTAGAGGTGGATGGCACCGACTGGTCCACCTGCCACTCCTCCACCTTTTCGATGACGTCGATCTGCGCCTCAGCCACGGACTGGTCGGCCGGCAGTCGGCCGGGCCGCGCGCTGCTCGACGCCGGCCCGTAGATCGAACTGTACACGCCGCCGTCCATCTGGCGAGCCTGCATCGAGTCGGCGTACGCGTGGAAACAGCAGCGCACCAGCGCGTTGGCCGGCGTCTCGCGCTTGCAGATGAACGCGTGGCACTCGAGCACCTTGATGCCGGTGGTGCGCCGCAGGATGGCGGCGAACAGCGGCGGGTGCGCGATGCTCGGACTGCGGGCGAACGGAGAGTCGAGAGGCAAAAAGCGCGCCACCCGCTCCTGGTCGCCGCCGGAGCTGGCCGGAACCATGACGTAGCGCACAGCGGCGCAGTAGTGCAGCACCTCGATCGGGAAGAAGCGGGTGATTTTCTTCTGTTTCTCGTCGACATTCTCCAGGAGGAGGCCGTTACTCCAGACGCTGAGCCACGAGTCGATGCCTTTGGCTCCCGAGATGCCCTCACTGGGATAGAGCTCTCTCAGCGGCTCCTGGATGCCCTGCAGGCCGTCCTTGGTAATGTGCGGCACGGAGGAGCCCAGGTAGAGCACGCGACACCGACAGATCGGCGTAGATTCGTTCGCCGGAGGCCCGCGACGGTGCGCCATCTTTGGTCCAGTTCGGGCGCTCCCCGTCGGCCTTCCACTGCGCGACAAAAGAGTTCGTCCCACGCCCCTCTGTCACTCAGCACTGCGTCCAGCCGCTGTCGAACAGAAAATCACGGGCAGGCCTGGCGCGGCCGCCGCTCGCCAGCACTCCACGTCTCTCCACTGACTGCGTCACCAGCGACCGGCCGACCGCGACCGCAGCTCGGCGCATGCGCACAGGTGAGGTATTCTGACTGCCGGCAGCCGATGTTTTGACCTTCCGTAGCGGTCTGACGGGGCCGCCAGCCAATCACTGCGGGCGGCACATCGGTGGACCAATGGAGTGCCCGGTAACAGCCTGTGTGACGATGGGAACTCGCAGAACAACACCTGACCAGAATGAAATGGGACTGGCTGGAGGAGGCAATGACCTGGGCAGAGAACTCTATCCGAGCTCCCCAGAGTGGCCGGCGGGCCCCGGTGCCGCCGCGACCGAGCGGGTAGAGACGGGAGGGTGAGAGGGATAGAGAGGGAGGGCGTGAGAAAGAGAGGGAGGGAGAGGAGAGAGTTACGTCAGCGACCGGCCCTGGCCGCCGCGACCCGGCCGACCCGATGGCCCGCTTTCGGTCGCGGTGCGGCGCGCGCGGCGGCGCGGCTCTGGAATGCGCCCCCGGCCGCAGACGAGCGGCCGACGCTGCGACGCACGGTGCGGGGCGCCGGTTAGCACAGGGTCAGGCTGACTGGCGGCCTCCATCTTGGACCTCACCGCCAGGAGGTCCTACATCCTCTCCTGAATGATGTACATAAAGCTTACAATGTTCAGTCGAGATGGCGCTGTTAAATAAATGCGCGGTTATGGGTTTAAACTTTAAAGACAAAGCTTAGTCAGTCAATACTCCTGAGAAAAGCTCATGCTATCAAGTTATAGGAATCACATTCTTGGGCAAGCTCGAGAAGAAGTTTTCACGTGAACCACACTATGCACTGGCCTGCCTATCTGACCTTTGATTTCAAGCTAGACTTTGTGACATCGCCCACATTCCCAGGTCAGACCAGGTCACTGACCTATGCCGTCATAGGTGCACGCCCCAAAAATGTTGCAACTTGGCAGCACTCACTGCAATGTCGGTGACTTTTTCCCAAGGAGATGAAACCTACCGAAAGCAGTAGGCAGCCGAGCCCTCACAGCTTGCACATCTCGGATTTTTTTTTTCATGAGGTCACCTGAGGTTAGGTAGATCAAGTGATCTCACAGTTGTAAGTCAACAGGGGAAAGGGCATTGGAAACTGCTATTTTGTCGCTGAAAATGCTCCAAAGTATTTCTCAAGCACATGGACGTCAGATCCGACTCCGTTACTATTTCGAGAGCCAATGGTCTTATCGAGCCCCGCGAGGTGACGTTTGAAAGCTTTCTACGAGACCTTCCCAAGACATTCTTAAAGGGACCCTCCCACCTTCAAAAAAGTTAATGAATTGGCATGAAAGTGATGTCGCTCGGTCCAGAAAGAGCAAACACGAATAACTTCTAAATTTCATAGCAAAATATTCACCGGTTTTCAAGATATAAGGCTTTTACTTTTGTATACTTTTTGAGATCTTCGCTGTTCTAGCGACTTTATTTGAAAGCGCGGCACTTGTTGCGCGCAAAGCAGCATAGGTATACTACCGCGTGTTACCAAACGTTTTAGTAAAAGATTTAAAATCGTTAGATCTACGCTGACGTCACACATTCAGTCAGAGGGGGCATCCTAATGTATTAGCCCCTCTGAATCCAAGTGCTGCAACTTTGAAATAAGATATTTTCAATTTGAGGCATTTCTCGATGTTGTGAGTGCTCAAACCGGTAAGTGTAGGCCAGGGACCCCATTTTGGCTATCTCAACTCAAAACTAATGCTAAGGTGGGATGGTCACTTTAACCCTCGCCCGTAAACGGCGATCTGCCACCTTCGCCCATGCAGGGGGGGGTTGGTGCGACCCCCCCCTTGGCGTTTGAAAACGGAGCGTCGTAGAGCTTAGCGGAAAAGACCAACGGATTGCTCTCGCCGAGATCTTGCGATTGGTGGTATATTTTTTGGTCCTAGGTCAACATTTGACCTACTTTTGACCGGTCAAAGGTCAAATTTTCGGAAAAATAGACTTTTTCAAATTTTCCGCGGCGATTGCGGCAAAATGGTGGGAGATATCGACTTGAAACCTTCACTATCGTGTTCCTTGATCAATTCTCTATCGTTTGGTATGTATTTCGTTTCCCTAGCTCTAAAAATGGCGCGTTGGGAGCGCCGGAAGTCGGCAAGGTCACAGTCGGCGGCAGAAATTCGAAAAATCAAAATTTAAATTTTTGAAATCTGATTGTATTTTTGGATTTGGGATGTCCATTTGCTCCCTATAGAAGCTAATATTGCTGCATATTCCCATTGAGGTGACAAGAATTAGCAAAATAGTGGTTCGGGCGCTTTTGAAAAATAGTACCGGACGCTGTTCCTCTTGTGACGTCATAGCTCCGTGACCTGACCTGACCCGGTCAAGTTTCTTATACCATATGATAGCCAATACTTGCCCCAACATGCATGGGAAGTTTCATCACGATCCATCAACCGATGTCCGTACCACCGGCAGGAACCCTCGGGCGTTGGCACTCAGTTTGTGAAAATCCGGCCGGAGGCTGTTCCCTTTGTGACGTCATAACTCCGTGACCTGACATGACCCGGTCAAATTTTTTTTATCAAAAGATGCGCAAGGTTTGCCCCATAAGGTACCCAAAATTTGGCGGCGCTGCGCGCCGCCGTTTTTGCACTATTTCCGAAAAACCTCAGGGGGGGGGTTGCACCAACCCCCCCCCCCCCTACATGGGCGAGGGTTAACCCGCGCCGGTGCTGGTGGTCAGAGTTTTCTGTGGTGTGCTGGGTAGGAAGGGAGGCCTTTTCACGCCCTCCCCCCGTCTAACTCAGTTCCTGGGCCCATGGGTGGAGCTTTTCCGGGGGAAGTCGATGGGGCAAGGTCATCAAACCTACATTGTCCGATTGTCAAATTGAATAAAATGAAGATTCGGAATCAATTCGCATTTACAAATGTAGCATTTTACATAACACAGACCTTAAAAAGCCCCTCACTGCGGAAAAATTTAATTTCAAAGCAACGAAGTCCTACAAATCAGCTTAAGTTGGTGAGGCAAAACACTGTATTGGTGGAACAAAACGGCAAATTGGTCCACCAACTCAAGTCCGCCGCTGCACACAGCCGCTATTTGAGTTCGGAAGTGGCCAAAATGCGATAATTCGTTAACCAGTTGACATTTTGCCAAGGAATTTTTATTGTATGTAAAGTCAACCGTAAGGTCACATATGGGAACGTATGAGCATCCATGCTGATACATCATTGCCGTAAAAAATATTTTTGCTTGTAATCCGCGGATGACGGGTAGGTATATCCCATAACGTGGGTGACTCGGGAGGGGATTCTGCATAGCTTCCCTGCTGTCTTCGAAACTACTCGTTCAATACTAAAAGTTCGAACGGCTTCTGATAATAGCTGACAAACGAAACCTAACTTTGTCACAAAAGCTCATGGAAAGGTCATGGGTCACAAAAGGTCATGGAAAAGGTCATGGAAGGAAATGTATACATTTTTAGGTCATGCAACACATCTTGAATGGTCCATTTCGGCAAAAGCATCTAAAAATGATGTCATCTGGGTCGTCCGATTCGAAACTATTTCCATTCGACAAATGAAGGTCAGGTCACGGCGAGGTCAAAAAGGTCAAATTTTGAAGTTGAACATTCTCAACAAAAAAGATTGCATCGGATGCAATTTGAGCTCTGGGAACACGATGATGCTATTCGTTTTGGTTTTCGATGTCAAGAACGTACTGAAATTGCCTTTGTAATATCGAAAATTGTGATTAACCGACTACGGTAAAATGCAAAAGCCGATAACATTGCCATTTCTGAAGATATCTGACTGAAACTTTCCAAAAGCAATGCAAATGTTACATACAAAAGCCAATAAGGTTCATTCTGGTCGATGGCTGCTCCCCAAAACTCTGAATGTTATCAACCATATCGGACATTCTTACGATGTTCTGTTGGCTGGATGTCTTTTTGCTTTATTGAATTTGATCAGACTACATTCAGTGAAGATGACGTACATTTATTGGTCACCAGAAAGTATACCTACAAGTCAATTGACAATTGACAACCAACAAATGCAATCGACACGAGCGTCGAGCACCCCTCAGCACAAGCAACTGCCGGGGGCGATTAGACGGACCGCGCTCCTCTCTCGCAGCTGATTGGTCAGCTGCCGAACCGCACGGACGTCAGCTGCTCGGCCGCCGCCCGGCCGACCTGACCGGGGTCGGCCAGGCGGCGACCTAGCGTCACTAGAACTGCAATAACTTTTTCCGGCAGTGTGATGCCGACCTAATTTTTTCAGCAAATGAATCACAATTGTACGGTATATGTTATGGACGTTGTCTCGATGTGAAGCACGCTGTGCGTTTTTTGGTAGGCCTATGTAAATATTGAAATCCTCAAGCCCTTCTGCTTTGTGCAAGTGTGCAGCAATTAGCTTACAATAACTGAGTGGGAAGTTTTTTAGATGCACTTTTGTTACCAATGGATTCCGCACATTTTCCCCTTTCAGCTGATACCTTACTTACGCATTTTCAAGCAAAGAATATGACAGGAGACTTGTCAACATTTACATGAAAGTCGCAGCAAAAGTTCGGTCTCACGGAGCAAAACAAAACGGTGTACTTTGGGAGCCCACCAATCTGTACCAGAATGAGTAATATTTTTTCTGGATGATATTTTATACAGTCTGATCAATTTACGACCAGAAAATGTGAGAAAATCACGCTTTAAAATTTGTCGAAAATTAGGGTATTGGCCACTTCTGAACCCGGATAGCGGCTGTGTGCGCTGCCTGGGCCACGTAACGACACGCGGTAAGCGGCAATCGAAAGGATGTCACAAAAATGAAGGAAATAATTCAGTCATTTTTTGGGTCTGGTCAAACAAAGGTCAGGTCGCCATACTCGTAAGTCATGAAAGGTCTAATTTTGTATATTTCAACAATTTTCAAAACACCGACGCATAACTCGGGAACCAATTGAGCTACAGCGCGGCGCCGGGAAAAGCGCATTCGCTAGCTCTTTCAAAAGCCTTTCTGAGTAGGTACCTATTTTTCTCAGATTTGACCTCACGGTCAACGGTTTAGCCTCCAATGGGTAAAAAGTCTAAAAATAGCCGTTTCACGAAACATGTTTTTTCGGTAATAACATTCAACTCTAGAAATTCACGACATTGATTTTGCCAGCATCGTGTTCCTCTCGTCGAGACGCGTCGAATGAACTATACGTTGACATTGGAAAGTCATTTTGAAAATTTGACCTCAGGTCAAGGTCAAGACCTGACCGGAAAGAGTCATGTTGCATATCAGTCGATCAGTATCGTCGAGCTGAACACATCTGACGTGTTTAACCCGCTCTGGCTCGTCTCTATAAAAAATTATAGTCACAAAACTGATAGTGACCTTTCATTTCCCTGACCTCTATATGACCTCAGGGGCATATGTAGAGGTCACGGGTGCAATTTTCCAATTTAGTGTGTCATGGTTACCTTACCTATGAACTGATGTTGCAAAGGGTTTAGAACGACATTTGTCCAAAAGAGGCGCATATAAATTTTCTCCCTTTGATTTATTTATAATGGAGAGGTCGCAAAACTGACCTGACCTTAGGTCACAGATATAAAAAATCCGAGATATACATTGCATGCCTACTGTTACCTACTCTAGCAATCGATTGAAGTTTCAAAGCGATCGTTCAGTCGGTGTAACTACAGCGAGCATTTAAACTTTTTTTCTGATGTTTGGTCACTTGACGAAACCTGCAGACCAGACCTTAAACCTCGCCGGCACAGGGGGAGGGGGGTTGATGCAACCCCCTAAGGTTTTTCGCAAATAACTCGCGTAAAAAGCGGCCGATTGCGACGAAACATTCAGTACCCTCGCATTGATCAATTTTACACCTACCCTGAAAATTTCATGACCCTGACCCAAATGACCTTTGACCTGTGAGCTCTTTTCCGAGACCATGTTTGGCCAGAATCGCGATTCGGCGTATGTCGGCTCGCATTAGCCGCGCGTTTGCAAGCTTTTCATGGTTTCAAACGTTCAAACATGTGAGTTGATGTTGCTCCCATACATTAGGGTGGGTGTCAAGGTCACCTGAAGGTCAGGTCAGGTCATTGACCTTTGGTGACGACCTGGGTTCACTTTTTCGAGTTTTACATGTTTGTAGGCTAGTTTTTGGAGCTGAATTCGAATTTAGCAGCCATTTGAACATTTACGAAGTAGCTTTGGTGCCTTCGTAACATGTTACGAAGCTGTCAGAGGCGGTTGACACCTATTACGAATACCCGTCACAGCCCCTACCGGTTGACCTGACCTGACCTGACCCGACCTGGTCTAAATGCTTAAAGACATCATCTCTGATCAAAACTAACACGATATTTGTGATCAGCACCCCGGAAAACCACATAGCAGCCACACTTTACGACTATCTATAACAGGTCCCGATTTTCCCGGTTTTCGGGTCATTGACCTGACCTGGAAGGTCACCCGATGACCTAGGACCTTAAAATTGTTGGGTATCATCGGCTTCCTCTCGTGACGGGCAGCACGCTCGTTTTTTCCGCGAAGCTCTAGCTCGATCAGGGGCCAAACGCGAGGGGGCTCGTACCAACCCCCCCCCCCCCCTTGTGCCGTCGAAGGACGCAAAATGGCCTGTGCCGGCGAGGGTTAAAGGGAGAATATGACCTTTCTTATTTCTGGAAGAAAAATTATGCGACCTTCATACCATTTTTACTCTAGCTTCAATTCAATATGAATTTTCTTCAAGACATTTCCATATGTGAAAACTTTTTTTTGCAAGAGAGAAGCAGCACTTGTAGTACTTGCAACACCCACCGAAAATGCTTTTAGGGCATGTCAAAGTTCCGATCACCAGAGCCGCGCCGCGAAATTTGGCATGAGTTTTCACTCATCAATTTTACATATAGTATGCAAGTTTGAATCTCCTATCTTTTAAGGTCAGGTCACCAGGTCACTTTGAATGACCCAACCTCAAGTCACTTTTTTGCAACTTTGCCACAGTGTCAGAGCTACAGTAGATGACGGAGGTATTTGAAAGTCACAGGATGTTATGAGGTCATTGGTAGCTACAATTTGTATATTTCGGAATTTCGATATCGATGACCTAAGGTCAGGTCAATTTCTCGACCTCCCGCTATACCTAAGTCAATGGGGGAAAAATCAACTCCCTGTTTTTTTTTTTCACTAAAACGCGTCGGAATGGCCCCATATACCATCCATGACTTCACATACGATCAACCTTCACTACCTTGAGGCCTGTTTTTCTGTTGGCCAGCTGTAAGGTCATGTGACTTCATCATAGGTCCACCAACGGTTTTTTTGCCAATAACTCCTAATCCTTGCGGCTTGCAGGAACGAGATACAGCGGCGCAGATGATCTCATTGTGTTCAGCTCGTCAAAGCGCATCGAGTAATATATAACTATGATGACCTCGAGGTCACGTGACCTGAGGTCAACCTTTGACCTTGAACTTTCGATGTCAAAATATATATGTTTCGATGCGGATTGACGAGAGGATCACGATTCACGATGATGCCCTTAGTTTGTTCCTTGCTTGACTAATTCGAACGTTATTCGAGAAAAACTCCATATCTAGCGCCACCATTTTGACTTTCTTGACCCCTGTGACGTCATCTTTGACATGACCTGAAATTGAAAATGACCTTCGTAAAAATTGTAGACCTTGTCCGTGCGTACCCCATGCCGTTAACTGCTTGTCGCTACCTTGCTTCGTTCTCGGGATCTCGGGGGGGGGGGGGCGGTCATCCGCCCCTCCCCTCCTGTCGGTTCAGGCGTAGACTCCCGTCGGTGTGCTGGTTAAATTGCCTTCTTTATGAAAATGCTTTTTCCGTCATAACTTTTGACTCAGGAAATAAATAGCATCGCTTTTGACGGCATCGAGCCTCTTGTCAAAGCCCGTCGGAGTGACTATCGTTTGACTTTAAAAGACCATTTTTAAAATTTGACCTCAGGTCAAGGTCATGAACTGACCGGAAAAGGTCATGTTGCATACAATCGATTCGTAGGTATTGCCGAGCTGAACGCATCTCATGCACATCGCTCTAGCATGTCTCTATCAAAAGTTATTGTAAAAAAGAACTGCTAAAGGACTTCAATGACCGGAGATGACCTCAGGGATATAGAGGGTTCACAGGTGCAATTTTCCGATTCCGTATGCCACGTTTACGGCTGGAACACGATATTTGAGGGCGTGAAGTATGGCGTTCATCTAAAAGAGGCGCATTTCAATTTTCTCCCTTTCCTTTTAGATGGAGAGATCGCAAAATTTAGGCATCTGACTTTAGGGCACAGATATCGAAATTCCGACACACATTTTATGCATACTGTTAGTCTTAGCAATCGCTAAAAGTTTCAAAGCGATCATTCAGTCGATGTGGGTAGGTATGGCGAACATCTTAACTTTTTCTGAGATAAGGTAAATTGACGTGACCAGGTGATCTGACCTTGAGCGACCTGGGTCTGAAATTTTCACACCTCGTGCAAAAGAGATGCATGAGCACTGAGCGACATTATTCAGATACCGGTGAGAAACCGCATGGGGGGGGGGGGGGTTCAAATATCTCCGGCGCAACTTATAAGATAGCCGTGCGATTTACTCGACGCTCAACTTAATGTTTTCTTTAAAAAATGCAATTCGTCACAGCTAAGTAGGAAAGCGTTATGTTGCTTAAATCATTGCTTTGCGCCTTTAAAACCATACCGATCCGATGCTCCATTGCTCCGTTGAGCTGTAGGTATACCTCCGTAGTCCGTACTTATTGGATGGCGATATAACGATTGTGTTGCGGGTATGACGAGTCTCAAATGACACAGCATTTCCTTCACGGAGAGAATTGACCAAAAGATCTTTAAATGTATTAGATTATCATAATTTTCCGGCCTTCCGTCGCAAACTGTTCACAAAACGGGCTAGCTTATACGACATCTTATCAATTATCCATATCTGGAACGATGAACTTCCAGATGAACGCGTTATTCAGCATGTGTCATGCATGTATTGCCATCACCCATGAATATGAGACGCTATATAAAATATTCCATGGTAAAAATGTCAAAAACTCTGTATATCGGAGTTCGGTCGTCTCGGTACAAAACATGGTGCGATTTAGTGTACAATGGAACGTCCACACAACGGACAGACGTCACAGTAGCGTGCCACTTCGAGACGAGGGATACGGGGTAAGACGGAGCAGGCGAACTGGACAGGCACGCATCGCCTACTGACGACCTAGCGCTGGTTGGTGGCACCTGACTGATCACACCTGTCACACGCTGGATGCGTGTGGGCACAGCATTGGTAGCCACTCGTAACACCTTCAGGTCAGCACCAAGTGCAGCTCATCAGCCACCATGGGGACCAGAAGACCGGAATTTCGTCGGGTAATTTCGAATGTCTCGCAAAATTGGCACCACACGGGAAGCTTGTCTCTAGAGCCCGGAATTGGCCACGTATTTGTTGAGATCCCTGTCACTGAGGCCGCAGTCTCTGGAGCCGTCTGTGCTGCCCTCTAGGTGCTGTCGGCGCCGCCGATGGGTGCCAGCTTGAAGCCGCCGCCCAGAGGTGGCGCGTGGCGGCCCCCGACGGTCGCCGTCACGGGCGGGAACCGACTGGGGGCAGTCTTCGACTCTGACTTCCTGCAGCTGGCCGCGCAGCCGACTCTCTTGCCGCTTCTGCCGGGCGCAGAGGACGGTCAATGTAAGAGGTGACACTCAGCACAGACTCGCAGGCAGCTCTCCTGACTCCTGATATTTGATTTTGACCATAACAGCTTGGTATAAAACATAGCCATTGAACCCTCTTTTTATGGAACAGGAAATTATACATATGTATGTCAAGCTTTGAGACAAAGCGTAATCTTTAGAGCAGGCACGATAAGTGTAGGCGACATTAAACGAACGGCAGACGTCCTTCCATCTCGCACTAACTTACCTGCATCGCGTAACGTTTCTTAATTTCTTTCAGCTCAGTTGTAAGACGATCAATGTCTAGTTTGTATTCTTGCATTTGCGATTCATACATATTCAATTCGGAGACCAGGCTCTGAAACCCATAAGCAATGACATTTAACGGACAGTTATTGTTCATGCTACATATCAGCATTGCTAAGTGCGCTTTTTGCCAGGGCTCCGGCTCCAGCCGCGTGGCGGGACGAGAGCCGTCCCCTGGGTGTGTCTACTGCGACTGGCGACGCCTAATGGCGCTCTCCTGTTTCTGTCCCGAGGTGAGAGGCTCACCTACTTCTGTATCATAACAGTGGAACTCGGCCGTGGTCCCAAGCGGCCGAATTTACTTATCGCGTCTCTCATCATTACAGTCACGCACAATTCACAGCTGGTCCGGCTCCATGGTGGATGCTCTACAGCAAATCTGACTTTTTTGAAACCTGACTCAAACGCACTCTGAAAGTAATGCTGGACAGATTGAAAAGGAGAGGAAGAAACACGATTGTTGGCATTTGTTTCATTTACAAGTCCGGTTATGTGGCTAGCATATGCGTCAGTCGGAATATCAATGAGATACTGTTATCGCGTCGGCACGGCACCGTCGCTACGATGGTCTGTCAACTCGCCTTCATTTGTCGCGTTTTATGGCGCAGGGATCCCTGGCAGAGCATCAGCTGCTCGGCGACCTCCGGGCCCGGCTGCCGAGACAGGATCTGCTTCAGACTCAGGTACAGCTTCTCCTTCTCTTGCACCTGAAACGGAGGTGGATAAATAGTTGAAACATTCATAAAGGCTTGAACTTATTCTGAACCCGTGCTGCTATGAATGAACGACTAACTTTAAATGGTCATGACTGTGTGTGTTTCGCCACTGCTGTTAATAGAGTGCTACAACGCTTATTGGGCCCATAATGAGCAATGAACTTTGAGGTGGAACTGGAGACATTCCTAAAAATGAAGATTATTTTACTGATAACATAAGTTTAGAATATGTTATCGCCTAACATTTAGGTACTTCAAAAGCCATGAAACGTAACAAAGTGCGATGCTCCATCATTATATGTCTGAACCGATTCAAGCGATTCAAGTGTTGCACTGTTGCCAACTGAATGCAGTTTCACCTGCCACGCCTAGCTGGAACGGTTACCACCAATCACCAATCAGGCGGGGATAGACCGTGATAAATACCGTTGCAATACTAGTTCAATGATTGGCACATAGATGGCACTAGTAGTGAGCGCCTGAAGGTAGACTATCCCGCGCGGCTTGAAAACCATTAAGTTACAAGGATACACCGCTTTTGGTACTGCGGCGGGCGGGCAGTAGTTAGTTAAGAGCGAAATAATGAGAGAAGTAGCTCTGTAGCTCTTTTCAAGTAGCTCTGTAGGCAACACTGGAATCTAGATACATTGAAAATAATTCAGAACAACGCAAAGTCTCATTCAATATCTTTGTTTTTATGCGCCGTCAGCCTCCGCGCGTGAGTTCACTTGGGACGCTGTATAAGTCCCTGAGTCTGCCCTCTGCCAGCAGCAGAGCTCCGCTATTTTGTCAGAAGATTGAATGTCACTAGCATGACGACATGTCACGTCACCGGTCACTAGACCAGCCTAGACCTAGATCCGTTAAACACGTACTGAATGATTAGGTGCCGCATTTCGCTCGGTCGAATACATCCGCACAATAATGAAACAAACATTGAGAATACCTCTAATTCTTTCCTGGTTGCTTCTTCGGTCTTCATAATAAGTCTCCGTTGAAGGGTTTGTATTTTCAATATCATCTCATAAGTATTTGGATCACTTCCCTGAAAAATAGAACAACGCATTCAGCTGTGTTCAGCACAAGGGCTGGCTTAACATTTAGTTTGAGTGCAAATGGACAGCGAAAGTTATTCAAGCCGTTGGTTACACGTTAGGTTTCCGAGACAACCAATGTAATGACGACACCTTATATAGAAAAGCTAAAAAGTATCACTAAACACTGTCAAGGGCCTGCGATTACGTTTACCTATCACACCGTTTAAGCATTCATTTGCGCCCCAATACGATGCTCGATCACATGATACGGTCGTGCCCGTACCCTATCCTCAAGTCGGCAAGCAAGTGCTTTTTATTTTCATCGGGAAGCTGTCATCAGGGCGCTGCTTGACACTAGACTTACCTCGAGCCTCCGCCAGCGGTGGACGTTTTGCGGGTTTTGGAGCTCGTTCTCCAAGGCGTTGCACTTGGAGCGCTCCTTGAGCAGCGCCCGGTGCATGTGGTACATCTCTCGCCTCATGTCCTCCAGATTGTGCACACTGCGATTCAGCAGACTCTTCTCTCGCCTGCAGCGCCACGCGTGTAAATACAGGTGGAATCGCACATAGTGGAGGCCTCTTTATGCGGTGCGAGCGACTTTAGCGAGTGTCATTTGAGCGAACGTCATTTGAGCGAACCATTTTCAGCGACTGGCAACTTAGCGAATATCAAATTGAGCGATTATCAAATATAGCGATTATCAATTTAAGCGAAAGCTATGTTTCAGCGACATCTTTTTCGTCGACTACAGTTTGAGCGACTGTCATTTCAGCGAAACACTTCATCGTCCCGTAACGGTGTATTTTTTCTCTTTTCTTTTGCGAGCGTTCGTACAACGAATGTTTCCGGAACTTGTCATGGTTATCCGGAACTGGATGGCGGATGTCGCGTTCAAAGTTCAGACATTAAGCTCCAAATTTAATGCCACATTTCTAAAAAATTACAGCGGTTCGATTTCACCCCCCCCCCCCCTGCTGTTTGCCAATAATGATGACCAAACGTTTGTTCAGAGATTCATATTGCTTGTGCTGTTTTTCGCGAAATTCCCCCGCTTGAATTTGGATCAGTTCCCCATGTTGTAAAATTTGTTCTTGCCCCAAGCACCGTACGAATTTCCAGATATTTGGGTGAGGTCCCTGAAACATAGACTGGATCCCGCTGTGCCATCCCTCGAGTTTATTATTGGTCCTTGGCATTCCTTCCATCGTCCTATCTCTCACGTTCCACATTTCCAGATCAAAGTTGCAGAATGAGGCCAGATATTTTTGTGGTTTCCAAGCTTAAAAGATTTTTTTTTTAATTTGCCGCGCGCAGCTTGTAGTATGACACATACCAAGCATTCCAAGGGCAAGAATTCCCGAAAAGTAGCAATTGATTGACTTCCGTCGCGTTCGGTTTCGCTGTAACTGTGTTCGCTCAATTGGTCCCCCATTGACCTCCATATGTTCGCTCAATCTGGTTTCGCTGATTCTGGTCCTCGCTTAAGTTGATAATCGCTGTGATTGAATTCGCCGACTTGACAATCGCTGAAAAACTCAATCGCTTAAATTGATAATCGCTGAAAAGGCTTCGCTCAAATGTCGTTCGCTGAAATGACGCTCGCTCAGGTGTCGCAGAACCCTCTTTATGAGGGCCACCTGATCGAAAAAGCTTCGGACTCGGTAAAGCACGCCCTACGCGCAGTGTGATTATTTGGCACATTTAGGAATGCCTAAATCGGTAATCGGTATAATTATTACTGACGGGACTTTGTAATGATCAGGTCACTGAGAATAATGCAGAAATCACTACCTCTTTGCAATGTTAATATTCCATTGAAGGCATAATATTTGTTAGAATTTATCAAGCATGTAAGAAGAGGGGCTGTGATGGAAACCAGTACCCACTGTTAGCCTGATTTTTCTAAAGCTAGAGAGGTTCCTCTAAAAGTTCCTCTCATCCGATGAACCCCGATAAGGTTCTTGGTTCCTTCCGAAGCTGACCTTAATTTCTTTATTTCGAGTTTTAGCAGACCGATGTCCTTGATGCGCTCCCTGTACTGCTGCTCGCCTTTGCTGAGAGTGCTCTCTTGTATCCGGATTTTCTCGTAGAGCAGAGCCAGTTCGTCGTTTCGCCGGACCAGCTGCGTCCCGAGGATGTCCCTCTCGGTCATGATCTGGTTCATGTCCTTGCGCTGCTTGTTGCGCTCAGCCTCGCTGTTAGCGATCACCTGACGGAGACGATGGGTCAGCTGGCTGGAACACAGACGCACGGTAGTTCGCAGATGTCGGCAATATCATCCACCGTCGAACGAAGCTTTTCCCCAATACCAATCACAGCAGTCGTCTTCGATGTTTTTGCCTCGCACACAAGTTTACCCGCAAAACCTCCAACGACTTACTTTATTTAGCTTCAGATGTTCGGACTCGAACTCGTTAATTTTGTTTTTCATAGCCACGGCCTGAACTCTATGTCCCTCGAGATCGAGCTGGAGTGCTTCCTTCTCGGCCGACACCCGCCGCAGATCTGAAAACATGACAACACCAGTGAACGTCTGAAAGCGTCGTGCGTACATCAAACCAAAACATTTTGCCGAGCCTGTAAAATGATGGGCAGGCTAAGCAGATCTAAATCAGCGTAAAAGTATATTTACGTTAGGTCTCAAGTTTACAACTGTTGAGTACTGGACTGATTTGTTTTCTGTGAAAAGTTTATTTCGTCCACCGTGAAGGGACGCCATGTATTGGATAATTTAGACATTTTCAAGTAATAGTTCGAGCTTTAGCTAGAGATTTCGAGCATTGTTAACCCGCGCCGGGCCGGTGCTCTGAGATTCCGCGCCGGGCCGGGGGGGGGGGTGTCTGAACACCCCCCCCCCTTCTAACTCGGCTCCTGGGCCACGTAGCGACACGCGGTAAGCGGCAATCGAAAGAACGTCCAAAATAAGGACGAAAACACTTCGGTAATTTTTTGGGTCAGGTCAAAGGTCAGGTCACCAGAGGTCACCAAAGGTAAAATGTTGACTATTTCAACATTTTGGAAACTGCCAACGGCTATCTCGGGAACCGATAGAGCTACAGCGCCGCGGAAAAGCGCATTCGATAGCCCTTTTACAGGCCTTTCTGAGTAATGTTCTCAGATTTGACCTCAGGTCAACGGTTTAGCCTCCAGAGGACAAAAACTCCAAAAATAGCCGTTTTTACGAAAATCGGTTTTTCGGCGATAACTTTTCACTCAAAAGAGCCATGACATTACTTTTGCCAGCATCGTGTTCCTCTCGTCGAGACGCGTCGAATGAACTATAAGTTGACCTTGAAAGGTCAACTTGAAAATTTGACCTCAGGTCAAGGTCATGACCTGACCGGAAAAGGTCATGTTGCATATCAGTCGATCCGCAACGTCGAGCCGAACACATCTAAGGCATTTTCAGCGCTCTACAGGGTGTTTCACAATAAATGTTACTTTTGAATAGCTTAAATGAAGATCTTACTTGTTCGTAAGCGCGTAAATTTTATATGCATTTTGCTGAAAATTTGTAGCGGTTTTTAGTCCTTACATTTTTTTTCTACAAACCGTCAACGGTTCCATCAGTATGGACGTGCAATGCCAACACCGTCAAAACGGGTCAATTCGTCGTGTACAGATGATGAGGTGGTATGGGTGGTCATGCATTACGGCGCTTTGCGGAGTCTGACCGCAGTGCGACGGAGTTTCGGTAGCCTGTTAAAAGGAGGAAGGATATTCCGTCAAAAATGTCTTTCAAACGGGTAGTAGAAAGGTTCCAGAAGACTGGAAACACGAGACCAGCCCCGACTCCTGGCTGGAAGGCGATCCCAGAGAATCTGGTTGAAAAAGTCAGACGGAAGGGTGGCTTAGTGGAGAACCCGTGAAGGGTGCTGAACTGAAAGTTATATGTTCATCAGTCCTACTGTTCTGCTGTCTCATGTGGTAATACTCATGAGCCATATTGTAATACATGTCACTGAAACATCGTCGTTTGAAAAGCAACATTCATTGTGAAGGACCCTGAAGCTTAAAGGGACACTCCCACCTTAACATTAGTTTTGAGTTGAGATAGCCAAATTGGTGGCCATGGCCTGCAAATACCGGTTTGGGCACTCACAACATCGACAAATGCTTTAATTCGGAGATATGGAATTTCAAACTTGCAGTTTTCGGATTCTAAGGGGCTAGTGCTTTGGTATGCCCCCTTAGAATTTGTGACGTCAGCGGAGATCTAACGATTTTTAAATCTTTCACTAAAACGTTTGGTAGCACGCGGTGGTATATGCTGCTTTGCGCGCAACAAATGCCGCACTTTCAAATAAAGTCGCTAGGAACAGCGGAGATCCCAAAAAGTAAACAAAAGTAAAAGTCTAATATCTTGAAAACCGGTGAATATTTTTCGATGAAATTTGGTAGATATTCGTTTTCGCTCTTTCTGAACCGAGCGACATCACTTTCGTGCCAATTCATTAACTTTTTTGAAGGTGGGAGGGTCCCTTTAACAGCGAATTGACCTGTTTTGATGGTGTGGACATTGCACGTACATAAAGAATGCAGTTGATGATTCGTCATAGTTTTTGTAAGGATAAAAAACCCGAAAGAATTTGCAACAAAATGAATATGGAATTTATGGGCATACGAATAGCTGAGGTCATTTTAAAAGCTTATCAAAAGTAACGTTTATTGTGAAACACCCTGTAGGACGCCTCTATCAGAAGTTATTAGCGAAAAACTGTTAGATTCTGTTCGTGACCTGAGATGACCTCGGGGACATAACGAGGGGTCACAGTTGCCATTTTCTGGTTCAGTGTGTCAATTTTACCTACATCTCGATGTTTGAGAGTGTCTAGAATGGCGTTCGTGCAAAACAGACCCTTTTCAATTTTCTCCCATTGACTTATAATGGAGAGGCCGCAAAATTGACCTGACCTTAGGTCACCGATATAAAAATTCCGAGATATACATTTTGTAGATACTGTTGCTCTAATCAATCGCTGAAAGTTTCAAGGCAATCGATCAATCGGTGTAGCTATGACGAGCATTCTTATTTTTTCTGAGGTGAGGTCACTTGGCGTGACCTGGTGACCTGACCTAAGGCGACCTGGGTCTGAAATTTTCACAACATGTGCGGAAAAGATGTACGAACAGGTGTGCCAAAAACGGCGGCGCTCCGCGCCGCCGTTTTTGAGATATCTGCGAAAAACCGCAGGGGGGGGGGTGTTCAAACACCCCCCCCCGGCCCGGCGCGGGTAAAGGTTCAGAAGATTTCTACTAAGTCAAAATTGAAAAGTCACCGAATCTGGCAAAGCTGATGTAAACTCATAAGCTGGGACTTACCATTTTGTTCTTTGATTAGAAGGGCTTCTCGGGTAGTTGTTTCCTGTTTTAATTGGTATATTTGGTGTGTAAGAATCTTCAGTTTTCTTTTCATCTCGGACACTTCATCCTGAAACAAGTCGCATGATCAACTCCCATAAAACGTCGCAACTTTTTTTGCAATGCACCAGTGACAACGAAACGGTCGGTTAGTGATTTTGATCGGAAGTCCTCAGCAAGCACAAAATAATCCACACAGTAAATGGCAAATAATGTACAGTGAATCATATCTATTCCGTTCCATTACTTACAAAATGTTAATAAAGCTACAAAGTTAAATGTTATAATGCTACAAAGTTTCGATGAATATAACCCCGAAAGCGAGCCATGAGTTCCAGGTAGGAAAATTAGAAACTTACGAGCATACCTGTGATTCGATTAAATTTTTGCTGTACAGGTTTCTGTCACTTCGCACGGCCTCATACAGGCTCTGCTGTTGCTTGAGTTTTGACTCCACTTCGGACATTTTCTTTCGATAGTCGAATATTTCCAGTTCCTTTATCTTGATTGCTTCCATGAGGCTGAGCACCCTCTGTGTCAGGGTTGCTGACTCCGAAATATACCTGAACATGGAAAGAAAGGCCAAAGAAATTCAGAAATAAGCCTTAGTGACAGCTAATTGTAACTTGCTGCAAAAAAAAAGAATCTACGATAGGGGCGGTTAAGTTTGGACGATACAGTGTTGAATACGTGAAATGACGTTTTATGCCTGGTTGTACCTGATCCTGGTTACTTTGATAACAACTTCTATAATAAAGTGGATATGACTTAATGTTATGAACTTCTTGTGTGTTATGAACTTACTTATCTCGCTCCTTTTCCAGTTGGGAAATGGCGAAGTTTTTCTTCATAACTGATTGCTTCAGTGCATTTGTTTCTGACTCCAGAGTTTTCTTCGCCTGGTCGTGCAGCTTCATAAGATTTTGTTGTTTTTGAGAAAGCGCTGTAAAATACCGCAAGCATATCTGTACTCATATCTGACACTCATCTGTATTACAACTAAAACTAACGGTAACTGAAACTAAGAATGTCCATCAAGTTAGCGTCGTATTCGTATTCGTTTTCAGCGTCGAGTTCCAAACATCGCCAAACTATGCCAAACGATAGATCTTGACACGCTGATTCCAAAAATATCACTCATTTTTTCCTAGGTCAAATATTTTGACCTCTAGGGGCAAAAAACCACTCTGGCTATAAACAACCATAAGGTACTTCTTTATTTACCGTCCGATCGGGCTGAAACTTACACAAAACATGTGCTGCCACACAAGGATGCGTCACAATCAACAAAATCGCCGATCGAGGTCAAAGGTCAAGGTCATATTTGCGAAAAACCGTTATTTTTCGACGGGGTACCAAATAAAAACTTTATTTACCGTCCGATCGGGCTGAAACTTACACAAAACATGTGCCGCCACACAAGGATGCGTCACAATCAACAAAATCGCCGATCAAGGTCAAAGGTCAAGGTCATATTTGCGAAAAACCGTTATTTTTCGACGGGGTACCAAATAAAAACTTTATTTACCGTCCGATCGGGCTGAAACTTACACAAAACATGTGCCGCCACACAAGGATGCGTCATAATCAACAAAATCGCCGATCGAGGTCAAAGGTCAAGGTCATATTTGCGAAAAACCGTTATTTTTCGACGGGGTACCAAATAAAAACTTTATTTACCGTCCGATCGGGCTGAAACTTACACAAAACATGTGCCGCCACACAAGGATGCGTCACAATCAACAAAATCGCCGATCGAGGTCAAAGGTCAAGGTCATATTTGCGAAAAACCGTTATTTTTCGACGGGGTACCAAATAAAAACTTTATTTGCCGTCCGATCGGGCTGAAACTTACACAAAACATGTGCCGCCACACAAGGATGCGTCATAATCAACAAAATCGCCGATCGAGGTCAAAGGTCAAGATCATATTTGCGAAAAACCGTTATTTTTCGACGGGGTACCAAATAAAAACTTTATTTACCGTCCGATCGGGCTGAAACTTACACAAAACATGTGCCGCCACACAAGGATGCGTCACAATCAACAAAATCGCCGATCGAGGTCAAAGGTCAAGGTCATATTTGCGAAAAACCGTTATTTTTCGACGGGGTACCAAATAAAAACTTTATTTACCGTCCGATCGGGCTGAAACTTACACAAAACATGTGCCGCCACACAAGGATGCGTCACAATCAACAAAATCGCCGATCGAGGTCAAAGGTCAAGGTCATTTTTGCGAAAAAACCGTTATTTTTCGACGGGGTACCAAATAAAAACTTTATTTACCGTCCGATGGGGCTGAAACTTACACAAAACATGTGCCGCCACACAAGGATGCGTCACAATCAACAAAATCGCCGATCGAGGTCAAAGGTCAAGGTCATATTTGCGAAAAACCGTTATTTTTCGACGGGGTACCAAATAAAAACTTTATTTACCGTCTGATCGGGCTGAAACTTACACAAAACATGTGCCGCCACACAAGGATGCGTCACAATCAACAAAATCGCCGATCGAGGTCAAAGGTCAAGGTCATATTTGCGAAAAACCGTTATTTTTCGACGGGGTACCAAATAAAAACTTTATTTACCGTCCGATCGGGCTGAAACTTACACAAAACATGTGCCGCCACACAAGGATGCGTCACAATCAACAAAATCGCCGATCGAGGTCAAAGGTCAAGGTCATATTTGCGAAAAACCGTTATTTTTCGACGGGGTACCAAATAAAAACTTTATTTACCGTCCGATCGGGCTGAAACTTACACAAAACATGTGCCGCCACACAAGGATGCGTCACAATCAACAAAATCGCCGATCGAGGTCAAAGGTCAAGGTCATATTTGCGAAAAACCGTTATTTTTCGACGGGGTACCAAATAAAAACTTTATTTACCGTCCGATCGGGCTGAAACTTACACAAAACATGTGCCGCCACACAAGGATGCGTCAAAATCAACAAAATCGCCGATTGAGGTCAAAGGTCAAGGTCATATTTGCGAAAAACCGTTATTTTTCGACGGGGTACCAAATAAAAACTTTATTTACCGTCCGATCGGGCTGAAACTTACACAAAACATGTGCCGCCACACAAGGATGCGTCACAATCAACAAAATCGCCGATCGAGGTCAAAGGTCAAGGTCATATTTGCGAAAAACCGTTATTTTTCGACGGGGTACCAAATAAAAACTTTATTTACCGTCCGATCGGGCTGAAACTTACACAAAACATGTGCCGCCACACAAGGATGCGTCACAATCAACAAAATCGCCGATCGAGGTCAAAGGTCAAGGTCATATTTGCGAAAAACCGTTAAAGTAACCGAAAAATAACGGTTTTTCGCAAATATGACCTTGACCTTTGACCTCGATCGGCGATTTTGTTGATTGTGACGCATCCTTGTGTGGCGGCACATGTTTTGTGTAAGTTTCAGCCCGATCGGACGGTAAATAAAGTTTTTATTTGGTACCCCGTCGAAAAATAACGGTTTTTCGCAAATATGACCTTGACCTTTGACCTCAATCGGCGATTTTGTTGATTGTGACGCATCCTTGTGTGACGGCACATGTTTTGTGTAAGTTTCAGCCCGATCGGAGGGTAAATAAAGTTTTTATTTGGTACCCCGTCGAAAAATAACGTTTTTTCGCAAATATGACCTTGACCTTTGACCTCGATCGGCGATTTTGTTGACTGTGACGCATCCTTGTGTGGCGGCACATGTTTTGTGTAAGTTTCAGCCCGATCGGACGGTAAATAAAGTTTTTATTTGGTACCCCGTCGAAAAATAACGGTTTTTCGCAAATATGACCTTGACCTTTGACCTCGATCGGCGATTTTATTGATTGTGACGCATCCTTGTGTGGCGGCACATGTTTTGTGTAAGTTTCAGCCCGATCGGACGGTAAATAAAGTTTTTATTTGGTACCCCGTCGAAAAATAACGGTTTTTCGCAAATATGACCTTGACCTTTGACCTCGATCGGCGAATTTTGTTGATTGTGACGCATCCTTGTGTGGCGGCACATGTTTTGTGTAAGTTTCAGCCCGATCGGACGGTAAATAAAGTTTTTATTTGGTACCCCGTCGAAAAATAACGGTTTTTCGCAAATATGACCTTGACCTTTGACCTCGATCGGCGATTTTGTTGATTGTGACGCATCCTTGTGTGGCGGCACATGTTTTGTGTAAGTTTCAGCCCGATCGGACGGTAAATAAAGTTTTTATTTGGTACCCCGTCGAAAAATAACGGTTTTTCGCAAATATGACCTTGACCTTTGACCTCGATCGGCGATTTTGTTGATTGTGACGCATCCTTGTGTGGCGGCACATGTTTTGTGTAAGTTTCAGCCCGATCGGACGGTAAATAAAGTTTTTATTTGGTACCCCATCGAAAAATAACGGTTTTTCGCAAATATGACCTTGACCTTTGACCTCGATCGGCGATTTTGTTGATTGTGACGCATCCTTGTGTGGCGGCACATGTTTTGTGTAAGTTTCAGCCCTGATCGGACGGTAAATAAAGTTTTTATTTGGTACCCCGTCGAAAAATAACGGTTTTTCGCAAATATGACCTTGACCTTTGACCTCGATCGGCGATTTTGTTGATTGTGACGCATCCTTGTGTGGCGGCACATGTTTTGTGTAAGTTTCAGCCCGATCGGACGGTAAATAAAGTTTTTATTTGGTACCCCGTCGAAAAATAACGGTTTTTCGCAAATATGACCTTGACCTTTGACCTCGATCGGCGATTTTGTTGATTGTGACGCATCCTTGTGTGGCGGCACATGTTTTGTGTAAGTTTCAGCCCGATCGGACGGTAAATAAAGTTTTTATTTGGTACCCCGTCGAAAAATAACGGTTTTTCGCAAATATGACCTTGACCTTTGACCTCGATCGGCGATTTTGTTGATTGTGACGCATCCTTGTGTGGCGGCACATGTTTTGTGTAAGTTTCAGCCCGATCGGACGGTAAATAAAGTTTTTATTTGGTACCCCGTCGAAAAATAACGGTTTTTCGCAAATATGACCTTGACCTTTGACCTCGATCGGCGATTTTGTTGATTGTGACGCATCCTTGTGTGGCGGCACATGTTTTGTGTAAGTTTCAGCCCGATCGGACGGTAAATAAAGTTTTTATTTGGTACCCCGTCGAAAAATAACGGTTTTTCGCAAATATGACCTTGACCTTTGACCTCTGATCGGCGATTTTGTTGAATTGTGACGCATCCTTGTGTGGCGGCACATGTTTTGTGTAAGTTTCAGCCCGATCGGACGGTAAATAAAGTTTTTATTTGGTACCCCGTCGAAAAATAACGGTTTTTCGCAAATATGACCTTGACCTTTGACCTCGATCGGCGATTTTGTTGATTGTGACGCATCCTTGTGTGGCGGCACATGTTTTGTGTAAGTTTCAGCCCGATCGGACGGTAAATAAAGTTTTTATTTGGTACCCCGTCGAAAAATAACGGTTTTTCGCAAATATGACCTTGACCTTTGACCTCGATCGGCGATTTTGTTGATTGTGACGCATCCTTGTGTGGCGGCACATGTTTTGTGTAAGTTTCAGCCCGATCGGACGGTAAATAAAGTTTTTATTTGGTACCCCGTCGAAAAATAACGGTTTTTCGCAAATATGACCTTGACCTTTGACCTCGATCGGCGATTTTGTTGATTGTGACGCATCCTTGTGTGGCGGCACATGTTTTGTGTAAGTTTCAGCCCGATCGGACGGTAAATAAAGTTTTTATTTGGTACCCCGTCGAAAAATAACGGTTTTTCGCAAATATGACCTTGACCTTTGACCTCGATCGGCGATTTTGTTGATTGTGACGCATCCTTGTGTGGCGGCACATGTTTTGTGTAAGTTTCAGCCCGATCGGACGGTAAATAAAGTTTTTATTTGGTACCCCGTCGAAAAATAACGGTTTTTCGCAAATATGACC